ACAACATCAACAACAACCACAGCCACAATAACATCAACAACAACAACGACGAAGACGACGACGACAACAACAACATCATCAACAGCACTAGCAACAACAACAACAGCCACAACAGCAGCAGCAGCAACAACAACAACCGCAACAGCAACAACAACAACCACAACAACCACCACCACCACAACAACAACAACCCCCACCACCACCACAACAACAACACCAACAACAACAACGACAACAACAACAACAACAACAACAACAACAAAAACAACAACAACAACAACAAAAACAACAACAACAACAACAACAACAACCGCAACAGCAACAACAACAACAACCACAACAACAACGACCACCACAACAACAACAACGCAACAAGCATACTCCTCATCACGGATCCTCACTTCAGCCAAGAACCAAAGGACAATGAATGACCGTTCGGCCCACTCACTCTGATTTGTTGACTGTTTTTACATGTGTTTGCCTACTCCTGATTCTTCCTCCAAAATCCGCCTGTGGGAGGCCATGCCCGACCTACCGCTAGGCGAACATATCTGGGAAGCCGCTCTCACCGCGATGCCCGGAGCGGCAGGCACAGGCTGGGGCGACCCAGGCCCGCCCGAGAGACCTCCACGAGGGCCCCACGAGGGGCGCGACCCTCCTGTTGTGGAGCCTCCCGTTGTGGCCCCTCCTGTTTTGGACCCCCGCTGGGGCCGCAGGTGGTGCTCTCTCCGGGGCCACGGTCCGCGCGAGCAGTGTCAGCTGGCGACATCCGAACCCTACCCCCACCAACCATCGAGTCTCCTGAATCGAGGCAGGGGTAGGGTTCGGATTTCGCCACGTGCTCAACGAATCCCGAAGCCTCTCCCCGCCGGCTGCCCGCATCGTGGGTCGACGAGGGCAAGGCTCGGACTTCGCCGCCGATGTGTGCCGAAGATCTGCGAGGGAAGCACAGCGATTCGGACGCCCGAAATGTGTATGGACAACATTGGTACGATGCCCAACAAGGTCCCCCAAGGGGGCCCACAGAGACAAAGTTCAGTGATTTCGTGTGTGATCTTCAACGGTTTTCACGCTATCGCCTTTTCGAGCGTCCGAAGCTCCAAGACGGCCCCAGGGGCCCCGAAGACCGCCCCAAGACGGCCCAAGAGGCCCCCAACAAAGTCCCAAGTCATCTCGAGACGGCCCCGAAACGGCCAAAGAGGCGCCCAAGACAGCCTAAAAGAGCCCCAAGACGGGCCCGCGAGGGGGAACACAAACCTACAATTCGAGCCTTGCACCCGATGAGGCCACCAGGCTTCCAAGGCGCGCAATATGGGCTGTCGGAATGAGCGAAACGATTCAATAAAAACATGTTCATGGCACCCCTCCCAAGAGGGGCACGTCTTTCCTTATTCGCGAAAGCGATCGTGACCAGGCCTGCCCCCCCCCCGTGTGTGCATTGGCCATTTTACCAGCCTGGAACATATCCCTATCCCTAAGCTGGGCATCGCCTCATCAACATGCCAATCTTAGGGATTCCCTTAGTTTTTCAGGGCGCATCCCTAAGATTGTCATCGCCTTTTGGCGTGTCAATCTTAGGGATAGGGATAAGTTCGAGGCTGGTGACCATTCCTCAGCAATCCCAGATCGCGCTGGCCCGAATCGTGAAATTTTCTTAGAACCCAAAAATGTTCTAAGAACGGCAACAAGGTTCTTAGCACATCTTCCCGATGTGTTAAAACAAGACAGTCCCAGCCAGAAATGTTCTAATAACATGTCCTGGAAACCACAAAAGGTTCTTAGAACATTGTTTGGTAGGGCTATAGGCCAGCCAGAACGCTTCGCCACTGCTTCAACATCACACATTGTCCCAAATCGCCAGCGACTGCTGTTGGGCGGGCGGATGCTCGTCTTCAGTGGAACACGTCCGCGGCGACACCGACAGCGAGCCGTGCTCAAAATGCTAAACACATGATTTCGGTCTAGGTGCCCATTCTTTGGTGGCCTCCCAGATGGGATGGGAGCAGATGGGGTCGGAGGATCGCGCCGCATCGCCGATGCATCGACGCTGCATCGGCGGCGCCAGCGTGGAGAACGTTGGGCTCCACTTCGAGTCACGTCCCCGACGCATCGGCGACGCGGAGCGGTCCTTCGTCGTAATCTGCTCGAACCCCACTGGGGAGGCCGAGATGACTGCTGCACCCGTGTCGATCGTCCCCAGGCATCGCCAGGGTCTCTGCAGAGACGGTCTCGATGCGAGGCGGCCGGGGGGGGGCGGCGAGGCCTCCAGCGCAGCCGCTGGGCCCGACGAGCCCCCGCCAGGGTCCGGGGGGGGAAACTGTGAGCCGGCGGGCGGCAGCGCGCGGCGCGCGGCGTCGGCGCGCGCGGCGCGCGGGGGAGTGCGCGCGCGCGGTTTCCCTACTCGCAGCGTCGGAGCTCGGGGAGAGGACACGCAAACGCCGCCAGGGGGGGGGGGGCAAGGGGGGGGGAGGGGGCAATCGTGAAGCTCCGGGCTGCGCGCAGACAGCCCCCGCGGGCAGGCACAGCCGGTCGCCGCCGCGCCGGCACCACGCGAACCGAAGGTAGCCCCTCCGAGAAACCTATAACGCGCCGAGGATCTCTCGAGAGAACGTGGTCGAGGCCGGTGGGCCCTCCGAGGGGGGCCGCTGGGAGAGGCTCGAAGTACAGTCAAAAACCCTAATGAGGGCGCGCGGTAAGGGCGCAAGACCCTTGGAAGCCGAAGCTGGGATTTCTGGCGCGGCGGACGACGAAAACAACAAGGACGCAAGAGCAAGGAAGAGCAAGGACGCAAGGGTACCCTGAGCAAAGTCGCGCGTCCTTATTAGGGCTTTTGACCGTAGCTCGGTCGTTTGGTCGGCCATGGAGCTCGGTGCAGCGACGCCCCAGCAGAAGCAGCGCGGCGGGCGGACACCGCGGCAGGGGGGTTCTCAGCGTACTCGGCCTCTGCAGGAGGGCCCAGAATCGAATCGAGAAGTCGGATCGGCGATCGAGATGAATCGGATCGGCGGGAATCGGCAGCCGAGTCGGGAAAAGTCGGATCGGCGGCAACATCGGCAGGCCAGTATGCCTCCAGTAAGGAATCGGAACCCACAGCGAAATCCCAGGTCAGGTCGAATCGAATCGGAATCGGAAGCCGTCGAAATCGAATCGAATCGAATCGGAGGACTCGAGCTGAGCCCTGGGCAGAAGGGGGTTCTCAACGCCCTCGGCCTCTGGGGGCCCTCGCGGGACACCGGGGCCCTCGGCAGAGTAACCCGGGATGAAGAGCTGGCCCTGGAGCGAGGGTCGGGGCTTCCAGGGACCCGGTGCAGTGGGGGCCCGCCCGCAAGAAGCCTTCCACGAGAAGCCCAAGCCTGAGACCCCTGGACGTCCACCGGTTCTCTTGGCGTGGGAGCGGCACGCCTTAACGCAGCCAAACCATCGAAACCCACGAAACCCAGGGCACCCTTCTTGGCATCTTCTATGGCATGGGCATCTTGTGTGAGGAGGAGTAGTAGTAGTAGTAGTAGTAGTAGTAGTAGTAGTAGTAGTAGTAGTAGTAGTAGTAGTAGTAGTAGGAGGAGGAGGAGGAGGAGGAGGAGGAGGAGGAGGGGGAGGAGGAGGAGGCGAGCAGGGTGTGATTCTTGGCATGGGCTTCTATTGTGTTGAGAGAGCATCAGGACATCGTCGAGGACCACGTCGACGAGTTCTGAGGCTTGCGAGCCCTGGCAGGCGCGCCTCCTCTCCTCCACCTCCTCGTCCTCGTCCTCTTATTATTATTACTATTGTTCTTAGTATGTATTATTATTATTAGTATTATTAGTATGAGTTTATTCGCATTATTCTTGTTATTCTTGTATGTACGATTAGTAACGCAATTGGTCTTAGTAGTATCACTAGTATTATTAGTATTATCCCTCTGTGTATTATTCTTATTCGTCTTATTATCATGAGTAATGTTAATATTAGTATTACTTGTATTACGAGTGTATTATTCTTCATATTATTATTCTTCGTCGTCGTCCTCCTCCTCCGCCCTCCGCCTCCGCCTCCTCCTCCTCCTCCTCCTCCTCCTCCTCCTCCTCCTCCTCCTCCTTCTCCTCTTGATCAATTCAACTGGCGCAGCGTTTTACCAATTGCTGCCTGTGACTGCTTGACCTTGTTTTCCTGCCCACGCGCCGGACGGCGTATGGCTTGAGTGAGTGATCCGGACACCGCTCGCCATCGCTCGGACGTCCATTCCCCGTGTTTTTGTCGGTTTCGTGCGTGGCTTCTTCGCCAAAGGATCGAGGATGCTCTTCGATGGTCCCCACCGAAGAAAAAATGCACACGTCCGAGCGATGCCAAGACCCGAGCTGTGGCCACACCAGCGCCGCGCCGGGGCAGAGCCAGGCAGGCGGCGGTCGGCGGAGCTGGCCGTATAATAGAGCAGGCCCTCTGCGGTGCGACCCGGAGGCCCGGAGCGCCACGCGCAGGGCCAGAGCGCGGGCAGCTGTCCGCGTTCTGGGCCCTCCTCCTCCTCCTCTTCCTCCTCCTGCGCCTCCCTCCTCCTCCTCCTCCTCCTCCTCCTCCTCCTCCTCGTCCTCCTCCTCCTCCTCCCTCCTCCTCCGGCGCCTCTTCCTCCTCCTCCTCCTCCTCCTCCTCCTCCTCCTTCTCCTGCTGCCCCTCCTCCTCCTGCTCCTCCCCCTCCTCCTCCTCCTGCGCCCAGATGCCGCAGAAGGCCACCGAGAGACCACCTGCATCCTAAATGCTGCACCGCCTCTGCGTTCGATTGCACTTCCGCCGTGGCCACCTCGAGGGCTTGCGACCTGGGTATGGACACGGAGATGCAAGCGACCCGTCGGTCCTGCAGTGGCATGTGCACGGGTGGTCATGAGAACATCCTCGAGTCCAACGGTACCGAAGCCGAACGGCACGGTCGGACAGGGTCGAACAGCAAGGACAGCCTGGGCCCCAGACAATCCATCCTGTGAAAGCGAACCCGCGGCGAATGCAGAGTCAACCACTTCTCTTTCTCAACTGCCACAACAAAATCTGCCTGATAAAGAATTCGCAACGTGCCTCCTTGTACGGCTTCCGGCGCCGCGATGCGCGACAAGTCCGAATCCCTGTGAAGGTCGGTTTCGATATTGGCCAAGATGATGCAAAGACCTCTGCTGAGATCGGCACGTGCCTTGATGGTGGCATAGCCTCCGTATGCGAGTGTTGACAGGCATGCATTGCTTGTCAGGATGCTCGATGAAGGTGGACACTTTCCCAACGCCGAGCGCGCAGATGAGCAGAAAAAAAACCTCCTCGAGACTGATGATGGCTCGGGGAAGTAAAAAAATGTATATAACAGGGCTACCTCTCCAGGAACGGGAGGAGAAGAGAAGGAAGGGGAGTGTGTCCCTCCAGGCCAGGCGCCAGCATGGAGACTTCCAGGCCAGCCTTGACCTCAAGACTTCCCTGAGCTGGCCATCGCTCGGACGTCCAATCCCTGTACTTTGTTTGGCTTCGTGCGTGGTTTTTTCGCTGAATGATCAAGGATGCTCCTCGATGGTCCTCGCCGAAAGAAAAAATGCACACGTCCGAGCGATGCCAAGTGAGGTGGGGATGTCCCTCTCATCTCATGGTGCCTGCTGAGGGGTACTGCTCAGCAGCACGAATGCGGAAAAGGGCTTGGTAACACAATCAAGTGGCACGTGCGTCGGACATTTCCACGCGGGGGGAAACATGCACTGTGGTGCATACATCGATGATGCTGGATGGTCTAGCTTGGCTTGAAAGCTGGTCGACCCAAAATCGCCCTCCACAACTAGGGCGCCCGCACATGCGCTCAGGAAAGTTAGGAAACATTAGCGGATATATAAATAGTTAGAACATAAGTATATCGCGAATATAACACTCGAGCCGCAAGTGCACGCTGTCTAGTTACTAATTCTTACATAACTAATGTATAGAACGCCGAACCCCCGATTCTGCAAAGTGGACCTCCTCCTCGGGTGCGCTCTGACCATTACTTCGAGGCGGATCCAACGGTGGCGACGAGCGCCTCCCAAGAAGCCCCAGAAAGGCGAAAACGAGGAAAGGGCACATCGGCGATGCGGCGCGATCCTCCGACCCCATCTTGGTGAGACCAGAAGGTACCGATACCGCAACTCCCCGGACCTCTCCCGGGGTGTGTTCTGACCAGGATTACGAAGCGAATCCAGCGGCGGCGACGAGGGCCTCCCAGGAGGCCCAAAAAGGGGGAGACGGACACAGGGTAGGGGTATGGGTACCCGTTCCGCCTCGGACACCTACTCGGACCCCACCTGGGAGGCCTAGAATCGAGCCCCCACGAGGCTCCCAAGAGGAGCCAGAACCGTGGAACTCCAAGGGGCCCTAGGATTAGGTCGGGCATGTCCCCCTACAGGCAGACCTTGAACGAAGAAAAGAGACACCCAAACCATGCCCCCCCAAAAAACTTCCAATTCGCAAAAACAAAGCAAAACCGTCCCCCAGACCACCTTGGGACTCTTCTTCGAATACTCCTCCTGTAGAGGGGCACGCCCAACTCGACCCTGAGGGAGCCCACCCGCCCACGGCGTCCCCGAGGAGGCCAACGGCGGCCCCCGCCCGGCATGCCCCCCCCCCCCCCCGGCGGGCGCCCCCCCCCCGGGAAGCCCCCGCGGGGAGGTCCGCGAGGGGGGAGCCGCGCGGCGGCGCCGGGGGGGGCCCGCAGGAGGCCCCCAGACGGGACCACGACGCAGCCACGGCGACGGGGCGAGGGAGGGGGAGGGGGAGGGGGAGGGGGAGGAGGGAGGGAGGGAGGGAGGAGGGAGGGGGAGAGAGAGCGAGAGGGGAGGGAGGAGGGGGGGAGGGAGAAGGAGGGGGCGGGAGGGGGAGAGGGAGAGGGGGAGAGAGGGGGGCGCGAAGGAGAGGGAGAGGGAGAGGGAGAGAGAGAGAGCGGGAGACAACCGCCAACAAAAGTTAGCATGGCGAAGAGCCCAACCCCATTGTTAGACATAAGGCGACTACAAGCAAGACCGCTCAGTACACACGAGACACCTGGAGGAAGCTGCAGTAAGCCTGAACGATTCGCCAGGGACCTGACTATGATGTCCCGAAGCGTGTGAGGGGTGTCTGGGAAACGATCGGGACTCGGTATGCCAACGCTGCCACTGGGGCCTTCGGTGGAGCTGTCTAGGGGACACGAAATGCGTGAGGGGTGTGCCGACATGGCTGGGGTGCGGTATGCGAACGCTGCCACAGGGGACTCTGGTGGAGCTCCCTAGGAGCCACGAAGCTTTGAGGGGTGTGCCGAAATAATCCGGGGCCGGTATGCGAACGCTGCCACGGGGGCCTTCGGTGGAGCTCTCTAGGGGCCACATAGCGTGTGGGGGGTGGCTTGGGGGCGGTATGCGAACGCTGCCACTGGGGCGTTCTCTGGAGCTGTCTAGGGGACACGAAATGTGTGAGGGGTGTGCCGACATGGCTGGGGTGCGGTATGCGAACGCTGCAACTGGGGTCTCTGGTGGAGCTCCCAGGGGCCACGAAACGTGTGAGGGGTGTGCCGAAATGGTCGGAGGGCGGTACGCGAACGCTGCCACAGGGGCCTTCGGTGGAGCTGTCTAGGGGCCACGAAACGTGTGAGGGGTGTGCCGAATGGCCAGGGAGCGGTACGCAGTGGGGCCTTTGGTGGAGCTGCCGAGGGAACACGAAACGTGTGAGGGGTGTGCCGAAAAGGCCAGGGAGCGGTACGCGAACGCTGTTAGTGGGCCTTCGGTGGAGCTGCCGAGGGGGCACGAAACGTGTGAGGGGTGTGCCGACACGGCCAGGGGGGTATGCGAACGCTGTTTGTGAAGCCTTCGGTGGAGCTTCTTGTGAGGCCACGGAACGCGTGAGCGGTGTGACGAGCATGTGATGATAATGGCACGGGTGGTAAATAAGGAGAACGAGAAGAAGGAGATGTGCCGCGCTGCGAATTCAAGACGAAGACCAAACTCCAAATGAGGGTTGGGAACTGATCTAGAGAGAGGGCGAGGCGGAGAAAGTGGGAGAGGGGGAGGGAGAGATAGAGATAGAGAGAGAGGGGAGCGTGGTAACAGCGAGGAGCTAGGGCAGATATTAAGCACGTGCCAGGGGGACTCGAAGCATCGTTAGAGGGTATGCATCATAACAGAGAGACAGAGAGTGAGAGAGAGAGAGAGTACAAAAAAAACAAGAGAACACCAACACATGCCAGGCAGGGGGGGAGAGAGAGAGAGAGAGAGAGAAAGAGAGAGAGAGAGAGCGTGCGAGGAAACGTAATTTGTATGCATGGTGTACGATGGCGTGTCAAATGTAGGATTGATCGAGGTGGTGTAGCGGTGTTTCCTGGCACCGGCCAGTGAGGACCAAGCAACTGCGCTTCCGCGGGACGCGTGCACCCGCACCCGCTGAGGCCCTACGTTTGGGGGGGCCTGCCATGAGCTGCGGCAGGGGGGGGTGCGGCGCCGAGGGAGGGGGAGGAGGGGCCAGATGAGGTGGATGAAGAGGAATCGGAATCGGAACAGACGCGAAGCGTCACAACACAATGCCGCCCCCTGAACTCCTCAAGGAAGACGAGGAACAGGTTCAAAGCGAAGGCGGACCTGATGACCCAGTAGCTGCAGAAAAGGAAACCGAGACCTTCACCATATCTCAAATACAGCCCACAAATTGACAGCGACTAAACATATAGGATTAAGCTCGATACGGCCCTTTAGGAGGTGGATGAAGAGGCGGGAGAAGGAGGCGAGGGAGGCAGGGTCGGGAGGACGGGGACGGGAGGGGGAGGCGAAGGGGGAGGGAGGAAAAGGACCACCGCGCGGCGAGTGGGAACAAAAGAGAAATACGACTCCCAGGAGGTTGGGAAGCACGAAACAACACCCGCGCTTCAGAGCCCTCCAGGCAGCGGCAACCATTGCCAAACAAAGGGCCTTCCAGGCATTGGCAAGCATTGCGCAAAACAGAACGCATATGTACGGCTCGCCCCAGGCATTGGCCCGCGGGCATTGCAGGTCATGGCGCAAACGTCAAAAGAACAGCCGAATTGCTGCTTGGAAAACTCACGTCACCAAAACCGCTTTCGCGGTATGAAGCTCCTCGATCCCCTTTCATTGCAAGTAACTCCTCCTTGTCGCACCCCTAGGCGTGCCGGTCTTTTTCAAATGGAAACCTCGTCTCAGCGTCGCGCACATTCGTCTTAACAGTTTGCAGCAGCTTCTTGGAGGGATGGGGACGTTTCAAACTGGCGGACCTCGAATTAGCGCCGCACACACTCGTCCTATTAGTTTGCGGTAGCTTCAAGGAGAGAAGAACGGTTGTTTCTTTTAATTGGGACCATCGCCTTAGTGCTACGTGCGTTCGTCCAGAAGGCTCGCAATACATACATGGTTAGAACACGATTCCTTTCCAAGCTTGGAGTTTCGATTAAATTATCTTCAAGCGTGAATGCCAGGAACTGAGAGGCTTGCAATAACTGCGCGACTAGACGCTGGTTTCTTGTCAACATGGGCTGTTGCTCTACACTTCCTCAATGTCCATGGCCAGGCGTATCACATTGTGATACTATTGCACAGATGGGGGCAGCCCCGTTCCAACATAGGGACAGCGTTGGACACCCCGTTGAACTGTATGATCATACCGCTTCGCATGTCCTAATAACTATGCTTGTCTCTTTCCCTGGTTACGGTCGTTACCCCGGGGAGGGGGGGAGTTCGGGCGGGAGGGCAACGGTAACGGCGGCCGCGGCGTGCACCCGCCAGCATGCACGGGGGAGGTGCAGGCCACCCCTCCCAGTACGATCGTTACCCTGGAGAGGAAAAACAATCACCTACTACACCCTACTGGCTGTATGAGCATACTCCAGATTTCGTAATAAAGGGAGGGGGGTCTCATTTCGGGGGGGGTCTCTTCCAGGCGATCTTGGAGGGCCTGGGGGGTCTGGGGACGATGTTTTGGAGGGTTCTCCCACGGGGGGGGTCTGAAATGGCTTATCTTGGAGGGTCCAGACCCCCTCCCTTCTATTACGAAATCTGGAGTACTGTTTCGCGTGTCGCGCTGCTCCCTACAGGCGTGCATGCAGGACAATGTCTTGTTCCGCACGCGGCTCCCGCCTGAACAGCAGGCCCGCAGGGGCGTTGGCCCATCAAGAAGAGCCGCCTCTCGGTGGCGGCACGGCAGGCCTGCCAGGACTTTTGTGGAGAGGGGGGCTCGAGGCTGGAAGGTGCCCTGCGGTATCGTTGATGCATCTCGGGTCACCTCTGGCCCTCCTCCTCCTCCCACTCCTCCTCCTCCTCCTCCTCCTCCCCCTCCTCCCACTCCTCCTCCTCCTCCTCCTCCTCCTCCTGCTGCTCCTCCTCCTCCTCCTCCTCCTCCTCCTCCCCCTAGGTCGAGGATAGATCGCTCCAGAGCGCTCCAGAATGCTCTGGAGCTGGCCGCTGCGCCCGCCACGCCCTTGACTAGATATTTCCGCCGGCCCTCCGAGAGTTCCGCCAGAGCCTCGTCCGAGCTCCATCAACGTCCAGCCGCCCCGCCCTCTTCTCGGACCCCTCCAGGGCTGGACCTAAACGTTGTTTGTCGTTTTGTTGTTTTGTTTGCTGTGTGTTTCGTTTTGCTCTGCCTGTTTTCCTGTACCTCAACGCCAAAACGAAAAACAAAACGCAGCCGAAATCCAGCAAAACAGCGTTTGGGTACATCCCTGGATCCCTCCCGATCCTCCTCCGCGAGCTCAGTGAAGGGTAACGGCAGGGGGGGGAAGGGACGGCTCAGGGGGGCGTCAAAGGCGACAAAATCGAACATGTTGCCAAGGGCGGCGGCCCATTCTTGACCAGCCTCGAGCTCATCCCCATCCCAATGATCTACAAGCCCAGAGGCGATGGCAGTCCCAGGGATGCGCCCTCAGAGACCCAGGGAATCCTAGCGATTGACACCGAGAGGTGATGGCGGTCATGGGGATAGCGACATGTTTTGAGGGGGAATGTTAAGGGGGGAACGTCGACCAGGAATCGGCGATGCATCGCCAGAATCGGCGATTCATCGCCGACAGACCGGCAATAGGCCCCCGATAGCGAACCGCAAGATTCTGGGCGGGTTGGGGCCATCGGGCCCTTGTCTTAGTTCGGACATGTCCCTCTGCACGCGGATTTTGTACGAAAAATAAAAAATAGGTCAAACAAACATCAAGCATAACCAAACAATGATCAAACATCGTCCCGAGACTATGTTTGTATTCTAGTTTTGAACATTCCTCTTGTTGAGGGACACGCCCGACTTAACGTTAAAGGGGGGAACGTCGACCTGGAACGTCGACTTCGCCGACAGACCTGCGGTTGATGGGCCTGTTTTCCACCACCACCACCACCATAAGTTGGGGGGGGGTCCTCCTCCTCTTCGTCCTCCTCCTCCTCCTCCTCCTCTTCGTTCTCCTCCTCCTCCTCTTCGTCCTCCTCCTCTCCCCCTCCACCTCCCCCACCCCCCTCCAACTTATGGTCGTGGTGGTGGTGGTGGTGGAGAGCAAGCCGATCAGCGGTGGGCCCCCGACCGCGAGCCGCAGGATCCTGGGCGGGCTGGGGCCATCGGGCCCCCGTCGGCGATCCGCGGGCGGCTCGGGGCTCGCGCGTCCCCCCTGAGCAGATTCCCCCTCGCTGGGGAAACAAAAGGGTACCGATCCAGCCAGCCTGCACAGCAAGGAAACGCGATACAGTCGGCCTTGACTGGACAGGGCACGCGAGAGGACACAAGACCCTTCCGAGGGCCACATCGCCACAGGAGTGTAAGAAGGCACGGGTCGCGAGGCACAGGACACGAGGGTACCCTTGAGCTGGCAGGGTCGACCTACTAGTCCGGGCCGATTGTCAGGATGCAAGGGCCTTGGAAACTCATTTCGAAGTTTTCCGAGTGGGGCGCGGTCAACGAGAGTGGCCAAGGATGGACCGAGGAGGCAAGGATGCAAGGGTACCCTTGGGAAGGTTGCCCATCCTTACTATGCGGGTTGACTGTACCGCGACAGACGGGGCGTTGACCTAAGGAACCCTAAATAAGAAACGAGGCCCCTTTTTTCCACAAGTTAAACTTCGATGTCCCATTGAAAGCCTGGGGAAAACCGAAGGCAACCTGCGAAACAGCCAAGAAACACGGAGCGCCTCCCCAACGCAAAGGGTTCCTTCTCCAGCGCCCCGACTGCACCCCGGGGACCTCTCCCGGGGCGCGGTCGGACCAGAATTCCGAAGCGACTCCAGCAGGGGTGACGAGGGCCTCCCAGGAGGCCCCAAAATGGGAAAACGAGGGAAAGGTAAAGGTATGGGTACCTTCTCCTTCTCTGACGAACGGCTTCCGGGCCATCACTCGACCCTCCGGCGGCCGTTCGGGACGATCCGGGCACCTGCAGAACACCCTCGACGTGGCGCGGCTGATAGAAGCCACCCCGGGCCTCGCCGCCTTCCGAAGACGCTGCAGGCATTCCATCGGCCGCCGATCCGAGCCATCCCAAAACGTCACTAACGCTGCCTCGGACCCAGACGCCCCTCCGCGAGCTCAAGCTCTGCACCCCCCCGCAGCGCCGATGTCGGGCCGCTATACAGGGCAGAGGAAGGCCTCAGGACCTCAGGCGTTTCCTGAGGCCGCGCGCGCGCGGGCGCGCCCGGGAGGAGGGGCAATGCGAGGCCAAGGTAGGGGAACAAAAAGTGGCATAAACATAAAAACTCGGAGGTCCGCGCGAATTTCTCGGATCGGCGCTGGGGCCCCCCGGCGTCGCCTCCGGCGCCGCCCCTGGCGCGCTCCGCGCGCCAGGGAGGGGGGTCCAGCGCCGATCCGAGAAATCCGCGCGGACCTCCGAGTTTTTATGTCTATGCCACCTTTTGCTCGTTCCCCGAAGAGGGGCGCTGCGGGGGCGGCGGCGGATGCAGGACCCGTCTCCGTCACGACCCGCTTCCTCTGTGGCCCTCCAGGGGTTCGCTTTTTCGGTGCGCGGCGTGCCAGGGCCTCCAGTGCTCGGGGCGTTCTGCTCAAAGGCATCTTCAGGGCTTAGGGTTCAGGGTTTAGGGTTGCCCCACTCGGCAGGCTGGGGCTGTCAGGTCTGCAAAGACGAGCTCCCGACCCATCTCACACACCCTGCATGCTGGACGCCCGAAATGGGTACGGAAAAAATGGGCACAGTGCCCAACAGCAGACGTTGCCCCAAGCCAACAGCGGCCGCTGTTGGGCAGGCGGCCCTCTGTCGCAAATGGACAGAGGCCGCGGCGGCGCGGACAGCGAGTCCTGCTCAAAATGAACAGGGACTGCTGTAGGGCATCGTACCCGTTCTCTCCGTGTCCATTTCGCTCGTGCCGAGTACCGCGGCCGCCATGCCGAGAATGCGCCGGCGCTCCCTGGGGACCCGCCACGCGTCTTCGACGGATGGCAACTGCGTGCTGCGGCCGCCAAGCCCCCAAAGTGTGCACGTGCTCCCTGGGGAGCTTGCCTCGCGCTGCTCGGGTGGGGGCCGCCCGAAGCAAGATGTGCTTCGCAGGGCCGGGAGAGCGCGAGGACCAGACAGCAGCACAACTCAAGGTTAGATTGAAAGCGCAGGGTACTCGCCCGCTCTGCGAGCGCAGACCATAACGCGCACATCGGCCCCGCTGTGAAGAGACCCCCGTTTCAGGCGCTGCCGCTGCGACGCGGACTGTTCCGCCTGGAGCGGCCAAATACTCCCCCGAAAGCTTGAGCAAAGACTAAGACGAGCGCCGTGTTGCCCAAACAGTGCTTGCACATAGAGGTCCCTGCTTGCTTGCTCAAGAAATTGGCTGGATGTTCGCCACGGTGCGGGCCTGTGCCGCCTCGTGGGGCATCTGTTGCGCAGGCGATCCGGAATCGATATCGAATCGGACCGAAATGGGCAATGAAATCGCGACGCTGGATCGAATCGATAAGGGCATCGGAATCGGATGGAATCGAACCGATATGGGCGATGGAATGGGCTATCGAGTCGGAACGACGAAATGGACATCGGAAATCGATATCGACTCGGATCGATGTGGGCTCGCAAGGGCCTCCTCCGAGGCACAGAGAGCAGCCCACCGCAGGCACGGCTGGCACCAAGGGCGCGGCGGCGCCCCCACCCCCGGAAGGAAGGGAGGGAGCGGGGTTAAGTCGGGCATGCCCCCCTACAGGCGGATTTTGGGTGACACATTCAAAATACTGAAACAAGCTTCCAACATGTGTCAAAACATACGCAGAAAATCGCCCCTGGCTACTAACAGAAATGCTTGAATATTCCTCCTGTAGAGGGACGTGCTCGACTTCGGATGCGGGGGTTCCTCGCGACGTGGTGGACCAGGGCGGACAGGTCGGCCGCCCACTCCTGCTCTCGAGGGGAACGGCGGGCTCGAGTGCGCGCAGGGTGCGGAGGAGAGAACCCGAGGGTGCAGACCTCCACTTGTCCCTCGCCTCCTCCTGGCGACCCTTGTCTCCACTTGCCCCTGCCGGCGGCGAGCGAGGGGGGGATATGGAGGAGAACGCCTTCTCAGAGGACTCGGGAGTCCTTCTGATAAGTTTTCTAAGCCGTCCCCGAAGGCACAACAAACTTCTCTGCAGTCCCGCCGCCTTCTGCGAAGGCCTTTTCTCCTTCTCACGTCTCCTCCTCCCTCGCCGCCGATCCTGCCCCTCCTCCTCCGCTCCTCCTCTGCGAACGCCTGAAAGCCGCCCCCCGCCCCACATGAGGAGCTGCAGACCAACTAGACCGCGCTCGCGGGGCCCCCCCCGTGCGGCAGCTGGCAATGGCCTCGCTTACCGGGCGCCTCCACCTGCGCACACTCGCCATACTTGTAACGAAAACGCTGACATCTGAAATCCATCGTTGAGGGGGCCGGGGTCGGTTTCCCACTGTTCACTCTGCCACCCCCAGGAGGAGGAGGAGGACGAGGAGGAGGAGGAGGAGGAGGAGGAGGAGGAGCAGGAGGAGCAGGAGGAGGAGGAGGAGGAGGAGAAGGAGGAGGGGCTGCGGCCAGCACTCCACGAGGCACCGACGAGCCAGAGCCCACCGCCTGGCGCTCTGCAGACGCGGCCTGCCGAGCCCAGCGTGTCGATACGCTGGAGGGTGCAGACGTCCTGCGCGTCGAAGCACTCCGGGCGGCGGCCCTTCGTCGTGCCTGGCCTCTCGGGGGGGGGGAGTCCCCTCGCTGGGCCCCGGGGCACCGTCGGACAAAACGACGACCCTGGGCGAAAAGCCGGCCCTGGGGAGATGTTCGGGACTGCTGGGGACCCCGTCGATGTCGTCGTCGTCGTCGTCGTCGTCGTCGTCGTCGTCGTGGTCGTCGTCGACCTCTGGGGACTCCGCATCGGAACAATCAGGACATTGGATCTCTGGCGGTGGTGGTGGTGGCGGTGGTGGTGGTGGTGGTGGTCACTGCGCACATGAGGGACGCAGGTCCCAACCAGAGGAAGACGCACCACGACCATGACGCCGCCGCCGACGACGGAGACGAGGTGCGCAGACAACCCGCACCGAAGCCCGGATTTGGGAACGTGCCCCCCCTGCAGGTTTGGTCACACAGCACATCACGGAGCGGTGCGGCCGCCAGGGACCCGAGGAGAAGGTACGGCTGCCGCTGCTCGTCCTGGAGGGCCCCCATCGACCTCGCTGGGTTCGCCACTGGCCCAATTTTTTTTCGGGGAAGTGCGGCCGCACACCTTTGCAGCCCCAACTACTGCACAAATGGTTCACCGATCATCTTAGAAAAATTCGGGCTGCCGCCTCACGCTTCTGCGGAAACGCCAACTACTGAACACAACATGAAAAAAGAGACTTGGCCGGACAAATACGGGAAGCGTCGATTCTGTCCACGAAGCTTGTGGGAGAACGTCCTGTTGATAACCTCAATACAATTCGGAAAAGAACGCACAAACGACCAACAAAACGACTGCCGGTTCGTTGTGTTGGTCTGCCGTGTTCCTGGGGTCTGCCGCGCTCCAGTGGTTGGCCGTGCTCGTGAGGCCAGCCGTGCTGGTCTGCTGCGTTGACCTGCCGGTCCGCCGTGCTCCCATTGCCTGCGGCGCTGGTCTTGCCGTGCTCGTGGGGCCTGCCCGCCCCCCAGGCTCTCAAAGTTCAGAGTCTGCCGTGCTGCTGTGGTCTGCCGTGCTGTAGACTGTAAGCTGAGGTACCGCAAAGGCAAGTGCCCACCGAGGGCCAAGGGCCCCGCTGAGGGGCCGAGGCCACCAGGGGGCATCCCAAGACCAGAGGGGAGCGCTTCGGCCCCAACAGCGCCGGCCGGACGGTGCGGAGGGCGCAAGCCCGAAGCCAGAAGATCCACCACCAAACTCCCGTCCGCAATCAAGAAACAACTCAACTTTCAGAAATGGGGCAACGCACAACAACTCGCACGTACCCGATCAAATACAGGAGGATCAGACAAGTTGCAGCACGATGTGCACAGTCAAGTACAGGAGGGATACTGCAGAGAGTGGACCGCGGATGCCACACAACCTCAAGACTGCGCGCACTCGGCGCCCACACGGACAGACCTGGGCGGGCGAGGCCCGCAGAGAAAAAACTGAACTTCACGGAGGTCGGGACCCACTTGCACGCAGGTTCGGCCCGGCGCTGCTTCACAAGGCGGAGGACAAGGCGGGGGGGGAGGCGAATACCGTGCAGGTAGATTCGAGCCCGAGTGCGCCGTACCAGCGCAATCTTGTCAGCGCGCTGTTCGAGCGGCCTGGAAGAAGGCCGACTCGGGCACAGCCTCGGGCCTTCGCCCGGGACGCCCCCCACGCAGTCTCGCGGGGGTGGGATGGGGATGGGTGCGGAACACGGGGGGAGGAGGCGCAGAGGGCTGGGGTGACGGGGGAGCAGGCGAAGAGAGAGGAGTGCGCGGGGGGGCGCAAATTTCCCTAACTGCGAGCGTCGGCTGCGGCCTTGCCACTGGCAGCTCGTTTCCCGTGGCAGCCTCGCGCAAAACTCAGGCAGGCTGCGCTCAACCCGAGGCGGCCCCCTCCCTCGACGCCGCCCCCGCCTGCGCGCGGCAGGGCCCCGGAGCCTGACGGCTGCAGGCGGCTGCAGCAGGACAGGGGGGCGGCTCCCCTCCGGGGGGGGGACAGGAGCGGCAGCAACGACGCGCCGCCGAGGGTAAATCACCAGCGCTGCGGCAGAAGAAGCACCAGGCCTTCGGACAAACGCTGGGTCGGGCATGCCCTCCCACAGGCGGATCTTGAGGGACAGATGAAGAAAATGCCAGAAATGTTCAAAGATCGACAAAACAACAAATAACGGAAACATCGTCCCCTGATTTGGTTTTGAAAACAGTTCTGAATAGTCCTCCTGTGGAGGGACGTGCCCGACTTACGACAAACGCGAAGGACAGCCAGGCGAACCATGTTCAAACACTGGCAAACCAAACAAATAGCAGAAACATCGCCCCCTGACTATACATTGCAACTATTTCTGAATAGTCCTCCTGTTGAGGGACGTGCCCGACTCGAGACAGACGCGACGGAGTCACGCGCTTTGGGGCACCCGACGGCGGCGTGCCGCTGCTGCTCGTTCCCCCCCCCCCGGCGAGCTCCCCGGGAGCCGCCGAGCACCGCCCACCCGTGAGCCCCGCAGCGTAGGCCCGTCCACAGGAAGCCTCCCGCGAGAAGCCCAGCCCTGAGACCCCGGGACGTCCACCGATGTCTGGCGTGGGAACGTCGCGCCCTCCATGGCAAGGCCCTCGAAATCCAGGGAACCCACGGCACCCTGGGGGCGGGAGGAGGCGTCTCTTGGCATGGGCCTCCACTGTACCCCCCTGCGGGTCGGGATTCTGAGGCCGTGGAAGGGACTCTCAGAATTCGCAGGATGCCTGCAGCTAAACGACCTCCCAGCGGGGGAGGAGGAGGAGGAGCAAGAGGGATGACGAGGAGGAGGAGGATGAGAAACAATAATAATAATAATAATAGTAATAATAATAGTAATAATAATGATAATAATAATAATAACAATAAGTAATAATACGAATAATAGTAATACTAATAGTAATAATAATAATGACAATAATAATAATGAGAATGCTAATTCTAATAATATTAATATTAATTAGATTGCTAATACAAATAATAAAAATACTAATACTAATAATAATGATACTAATGCTAATGATGATGATATTAATAATAATAATAATAATAAAAATAAAAATAACAATAACAATAATAATAATAATGATAATGCTAATTCTAATAATATTACTATGAATAATAATGATAATGCTAATAATAAGAATAATAATAATGATAATGATGCTAATAATGATGATGATAATAATAATAATACTAAAAATAAGAACCGCAGGGTCGATTTAGGGTAGCTCCGCATGGCATAAACATGGATGCTCTTGGAGGTCCGCGCGGATTTCTTGGATCTGCGCTGGATTCTCGCCCCCGGGCGCGCGGAGCGCGCCGAGGGCGGCGCCCGCAGCGCCGCCAGGGGAGCCCAGCGCCGATCCGAGGAATCCACGCGGACCCCCGAAGGTGCATGTTCGTGCCCTTCGTTTTCGTCCCCCTCGATCCTCGATCGATCCTCGATCCTCGATCGATCCTCGATCGATCCTCGATCGATCCTCGATCCCCCCATCGAGCCTCGGTCGACGGTTGGGCCCGCAGGGGGTAGGGGGTGCGCAAGTGCGCCCGCGCCCTCTCCCGTTCGGCAACCTGCGGCGCCGAGGGGGTGAGCGTGACGACTCCCCCGCACCTCCGTGCTCCCCCCGTCGACCGAGGCTCGACGGGGGGATCGAGGATCGATCGAGGATCGATCGAGGGCCGAGGAGCATCGAGGAGGGACCACTTGCGCGGCCTCCTCCGAATGTCCGTGATCCTCGCCGCCGTCGTGCGGCCTGGGCACTGCGCGTGCTCGCTGCAGGGGCGCCGCGGCTCTCGCCGCCCCGGCGTCCTGCCAACGTCCCCCGGCCTGACAGGGTCGCACCCTTCGGGGCGGAAAACAAAAATTATCAAAACATACTCAAAACGAGTCACACACACACACACAACGTCGAGAACTCGGCCCCAGACAAAGTTCTGACTATTCTTCAACGCTCCTCCTGCAGAGGGGCACCCCCGCCTTCACCCAAGGTGCCCCCAGCTTCCCGCTCCACTCTGGAGCCCCTGGGGCCCCCTGGAGCCTCGTGAGGGGTGCTCTGGCTGCTCTGGAAGCCGTGGGGGCCTCCTTGGAAAAATGCTGGGGGGCACCTTCCGGCAGCGGCCAAGGGGGGGGGGACGTCCAAGAGGGGGGGGTGCAGATCATTGCCGGCGGCATGTGCGCGGCCCGGGGGCGGGGGGCCAGGAACGTGATGAAATAGGAAGAGGTGCCATGAAATCTGGGGAGATCTCATGGCCCCCGCCATGAGATCCACCCCTTGGTCATCACCCCCCTCTTTGCCGCCCCAGAATCTTGGGCCAGGGGGCACTCCTGGCAACATCCGCGACGTCCCTTTGGCACGGCAGGGCAGAACGCTCGGAGCAGGTGCGCCGCAGCAGCAACTGGGCAGGCGGCCACATCGAGGTCCGCCAAATGAGTGCCGAGTATAGCAAGCTGGGCGATGGCTGGCGAATCCATGACTGCTAAAACGGTCTTCCCGGAACAAAAAAACATATTCCCGGAATAAAACTCAACTGACTGAATAGTAAACGGGCTGCTTACCAGAAAGATAAATCATTGTCCCGGATCTCCGTTGTAGCAGCCACGGGTTTGCCAGCCTTCGCCCGGCTTCTGAGAGTAAATTGGTCGAATGCTCGCGCCGCATCGGAGATCAGCGATGCATCGGTGATGCACTGGCGACGTCGGCGAAGCATCGGCGCGATGTATCGGCCCACGTCGGCGTGAAGAAAGTAGGGCCCCATGTCGACCCGCACCAGCGACGACGCTTCGGGCGATGCGAGCGATCCTCTGACACCCTTGACTCGGACCCCACCCATCTGGAAGACCTGGAGTCAACGTGGCTTGAGATTCCCAACAATATTGCTGGAACAAGATTTCATCCGAGGCAAACCGGGACCTCGGAGGTTCGATGTACGTGCTTTTGGCGAGCGGGCCGTGCCCAAAAACCTCGGAGTTCCCTATGTCGTGGCCGTGGGACTGATGCCTCCTGCCTAGGTCACTCAAGTTCGCGCCCCGCGCCCCACGCACCGCGATGCGCGGTCACCTTCGCGCCCTCGCGAGGCCACCTTAGAGAAGGGCAGCTAAAGTAGGGGCCCGAACACAAGAAACCTCACACAAGAAACCCAACCCTGAGACCCCAGGACGTCCATGGATTTCTAGTGTGGGAACGTCACGCACGCTTTCCATGGCAAGACCCTCGAAACCCAAGAAACCCAGGGCACCCTGGAGGCAAGCAGGGTGTTTCTTGGCATGGGTCTCCACTGTATCCGGCCGAGGCCGCCGCGGGCAAAGCGCGATCATCTTCACGTCCTCGGGGTGGACGGTTTCCCCCGGGGCAGTAGGCGACCGGAGGAGGGGAGGGCGAGAAGAGGGAGGGGGAGGGGGATGGGGAGCGGGAGGAGGAGGAGGAGGAGAGGAGGAGGAGGAGGAGGAAGAGGGAGGAGGAGGAAGATAGGAGGAGGAGGAGGAGGAGGAGGAGGAGGAGAGGAGGAGGAGGCCTAAGTCGCCTCGGGGCAACCCGCCACCTCGGGAACGGCAGCAGCAGCAGCAGCAGCAGCAGCAGCAGCAGCAGCAGCAGCAGCAGCAGCAGCAGCGCGAGGCGCCTGGGAGGGTCTGCCGGGAGGCGTGGTCCCCCCCCCTCTCGCTCGAGGCACCCCTATCCCAAGCTCGGGCTCTTGCTCCCAGCGCACTGAAGAACCACAGCCCCCCACACAGCTTCCAGCACCCAGAGGAGCATCGACACAGCGTGTCTGCCCCACACGCCGGCGAAGTGCAGAACGACTGACGCCTCCCAGGGCCCCACACGCGAAGACCCTCCTGCTTCGACACTTCCTTGTGCTCGAAACTCATTCTGGTGATCAAGGCTAGATAAAGACCTCCTAGATTTGGTCGGAAGATCGCGCCGCATCGCCGGTACATCGGCGATGCATCGGCCATGCATCGGCCATGCATCGGCGATGCATCGGCGATGCATCGGCCATGCACTGGCGACGTCGGCGATACATCCGCGACTTCGGCGTGGAGCAGATTGGGCACCACATCGAGCCGCATCGCCGATGCATCGGCGATGCGGCGCGATCCTCTGACCCCATCTGCTCCGACCCCATCTGGGAGGCCTACCTAGACTATAAAGTAATTAGGCTGGAACAGCATAAAAGCTCGGGGAGGCATCGTGGACCCCACCGGTGGAGGTGGCCCCCTGCTGCTGCTGGGGTCGCCACGCCTTCCTCCGACCATGAAAACGTCCCCGCCTGTTCCTTGCCCGCCGCCTCCTCAGTCTCCCATCGCCCACTTTCGGTACTGCCGCCGTGCCGCCCCCCCTTCAACAAAAACATACACAGACCGCTCCTCGGCGACCTCAGCGGTGGCAAAAGTGAGCACCAGCTCAGAGCTGCTCTTGGCTTTGTCCTCCATGATGAAGGTGACCGTAACCTCTGTCTCGTGGGCCTGACCCGGCACGCAAATCGAGCAGCGAGCGCAATCGGGTGGAAACCTCACGGGGCGGGACCGGATGAACCAAGCCAGGTCCTCGGTGGCGCATCCGCGGCGGCGAGGGGGAACGCTGGGGGGCACTGGCTCATGTTGGGGAAGCGTCGGCTCTGAATCGGCGGTGCATGGCCGATGCGTCGGCGACGAGCCACCCATAGCGAAATCGCATGGCCATGAGCGGGGAAGTATACAGTGGGGGCCCGACCACAAGGAACCCTTCCAAAAGAAACCCAACCCTGGAGCCCCAGGACGTCAATCGATGTTTGGCGTGGGAACGTCACGCCTTCCATAGCAAAACCATCGAAACCATCGAAACCCAGGGCACCCTGGAGGCAAGCGGGGCAGGGTGTTTCCTGGCATGGGGCCCCCACTGTAAGGACACTCAGACCTTCGCCCTTTGGACGCTCATGCTGAAGTCTTGTTTTCGGGCGCGGCGGGCCATCGAAGGTGGTCAGAGCGAAGCGACGCGAAGCGCGCAGATCCGCCGGAGCGGGACCCTCGAGGGTCGGCGCGGGGGGGGCTGGGGTCCTAGAGGCAAGGTGAAGCACTGCACACATCTAGACACCCCACAAATGCTCTATTCTGAAGGTTGGCCTGCCGCTCGTGCTCGTTGCCGCAAGCGGTCTGCATCCAACGCGTCGTAGGCACCTTTCCATTCGAAAATCGCCGTTTTTATGACAACTTCTGAGCCCCCTCGCGGCGATCAGACAGAGTCCGATTTTGCTCACACGTGTCGAATGGGACCTGCAGACCATAACACACCAGACTTATTGGTTAAGAAATGGCCGCTAGCGTCGCAAAGATGGGACCCGAAGTCGAAGCTGAAAAACAAGAGTCGTAGCTGTAAGAACCGCTTTCGGAGATGACAACACCAATTGGATACATAAAAACTGGAATCGGAAAATTGGACGCCGGAGATGGAGAGATGGGACCATCAACCGGAAAATTTGACGCCGGAGTTGGAGAAACGGGAGCTGGAGTTGGAAAATTGAGCAATGGAATTGGGGCCGTCGGGGTCGGGAAGATAAGAGCACGCCCGGAGTCGGAGACATGGAAGCTGGAGTCGGAAAATTGGACGTTGGAGTTGGAGAGACGGGAACTGGAGTCGGACAGCTGGGTGCCAGAGTCGGGGTCGCGGGTGCTGGAGTTGGAAAGTCGGTCGCTAGTCGGAGAAAACTGGAACTTGAAAGACCGGAGCTGAAGTCGGAAAGAATGGCCGCCGGAGATGGAGCTGGAATCGGAAAACTTGGGCGCCAAAAAAGAAAAGACGGGGGCCGTAGTCGGAAAATTGGGCGTCGGAGTCGGGGACATGGGAACTGGAGTCGGAAAGCTGGGAGCAAGAATCGGAAATGTAGGAACATGACACCGGAGAAAAGCCCCAATCCTGGGGCTATAGGGCTATAGGGCTATACGGCTATAGTGCTATAGGGCTATTGGGCTACAGGGCTAGAAAGCTATAGAACTGTAGGGCTATATTGGGCTATAGGGCGCCCCTGGGCACCCCCGGGCACATCTGGGCACGTTCGGGCACCCGGGCACCCTGGGCACCCCCGGGCACCTGGGCGTGCGGCCAAAATCGGCGGCAAACCTAGCCTAACCATATGAATCCGCCAGGACCCCTACAGAGGCAAGCTCTGACGCTGGAGTTGGAGACACTGGAGCAGGAATCCGATATTTGGGCGCCGGAGTCGGGGCCGCGGGTGGTGGAATCGGGAGGTCGGACGCTAGTCGGAGAGAACGGTAATTGGAGAGACGGGAACTGGAGTCAGAAAATCGGACGGTGGAATTGGAAAAACGGGAGCCGGAATCAGGAGGTTGGGCGCTGGAATTGGGGCCATGGGAGCGGGAGTCGGAAAGTTGGACGCCGTGGTGCCCGAGACGTTCACACAGAAACCGTCGCGTGAATGATACATTGTCCGTCCAATGGGTGCCACACGCAACTGCCGCCAGCAAGCTGCAACCGAGGTCGTCGGATACTCTTGAGTCGCCCACCAGTTCCACTGATGCCAAAGAGCTGACGACATCGTGGTCCCATCTTTTCCGCTGCCCTCCGCGTCTCCTGAAGGCAAGTCGCCTGTCATGTACTGGCGGGTCCCAGTCGGCGGCACGTCGTGACCATCGGTCAGTAGACTGATTTTCTTTGCGGCAAGCCCACCGCCACTTCCTATTGACAGGAACAGTTGTCCAGGCTTCGATTTGGGTTCGCTCGGTGGGAGCGTTGGAAACGCGCGCTGCTCTCTCAACCAAGTCGATCCAGAATGCCGCGGTGCTGTCCTCGGAACTGCTTTTGCTGCCGTCCTCGACGTTGCTCTGCTGCTGTCGCTGGAGTCTCTCGGGCGCTGTGGTCTTTTGGCTTTCCCGTGCACTCGGAATTGATGATCTGCTGGTTCGTCTGGTCATCATTTTCGGGGGGGGGGCCCTTCGCGCGCCTCCTGCTGGTGCCAACTATTACTATGACCATCTGTCGCTGTGTCCGCTGCAATGTAACGAGCACGAGTGCAATAAGAACCTATGACGTGCATCCGTACGTGACAGCACGCGTCACAGTCCCGCTGAAGAGTCGCAAGCGGCCAGCGAGAGGGAGTGTTTGCACGTCAATTCGTGCCTTAGTTGATGAAACTTGCACCCCCCCAGAGGCAATTCTACAATTGAGCTCCTTTTTTTCCTTGGAAGTCATGAAACGTGAGTAATCTGCCTCAGAAGTTCGCGCTCTGCTTCGCTTCCAAGATCTCAGCATTGTTCCCGTCGGTCATGACGAACTGGATTGTTCTGCCCTGGCGACGGGCGACAATCGTAAGTATGTTGGTCTTGCCTGGGTGAAGGTCTGCGCCGCATTGGGAAGACTGGCTGGGTGAGCGTATCAGTTGGCGTAGATTCGGTGCATACAACAGAATACCGCCATGCCGAATTTCCTCCTGTACCACGACTGCTTCAGACGTCGCAAGATATGTTCAAGAAACGCGTTGAACAAAGTGAACTGAGCGGGTCCCCTTGCTTCACGCCTCTCTCAATGAAGAGCTCTGAGCTCGTGGGGTCTGTTCGGGCTCTGGCACTTTGGTTATCATAGAACCTCTGTATGAACTCGATGTAGGATGAGGGTACTCGCTGTTCTCCCAGAGCCTGCCATAGTGAATCGTGGATGACGCAGTCGAATGTTTTCTTGCAGTCCACAACTGCCGCCCACAGGGGTAGTTGCCATTCTTCCGACTGGTTGTGAAGCAGGCTCGTGGTGAAAAGGTGGGTATTCGGTGCTGTAGCCATGTCGGGAGCCTGCTTGGTCGACGCTTTGTTGGTCACCCAGTGCTGGGCTTAGACGATTGTACACGGGTCGGGACATCAACTTGTACAGGAGGGCAATGGTCGCGATTAGAACGTAGTCAAAGACGGACCAAACGGCACGAATGCAAGGGTACCCTTGCGAAGGCGGCCCGTCCTTATCATCGGTTCCGAGTGTACCTCGAGCCTCTGGGCCTCTAGTTGCCCGTAGAAGGACGATCCAGTCATCCCCGAAACTCTCGGCGAAGCGACGCTGCCGGAACGCACCCCAGGGCTGGAAACCCGCCGAGATCCGACGAACATGCCCGAAAACCGCAAACCTCGATTCCGAGAGAGTCCCACCCCCCTGAACTGGACATGCGCCAAAACTACTGTGTTCAATCCGCGGCCCCAGAGGTCCCAACCCCTTCCACGGGCTAACCGCTTCGTCCCGCACAAGCTTACGATGGTCTCGGGGCCCGATGACGGGCCCAACAGGCCGAAATCCAGGTACGGACGCTGGTTGAACAAAAACATACCGCCAGAGATCTGGAAATGGGCGGTTGGTGGTCGATGCGTGCGCCCCCGAGCCTGCCTCCTCCTACGACCAAGACCATGGGACGCACAAGGACACACTAGTACTACCTCCTCGGAGGCGCGCGTCCGACCCGAACCCATAATAGTACAATCATCTTGTAGTAGATCGTTCCCCGAGCGGCGTGGCCAGAAAGCACTCGCCACGACACATGTTCCACAAGATTTCTCGGTGCGCGCGTCGCCCCTGGCGGGGCGACGCGCACACAGTATCAGTAGATTGAGGGAACGCCGAGACCAATCCCCAAGAAACCAGTCTCAAGAAACGCACCCGAGGTTTCCTGGGCCTGGATTGACCTTCTTGCTCAGCGGGCGAGTATCTCACCGTCACGACACCAAGGGTACCCTACTAGCTGCAGCTTTTTCGCGGCCACTTCAAGCCTTCAATCCCAGCACACGCACCCAAGGAACCGAGGACACCCTGGCAAAACCCATGTCACCATAGGGCTGGTCCACGACAGTTACGGTGCCCCGCCTGGTGCCAAACGTGTGCCCCAAACGGTGCCCACGAATTCGTTGCTTTTGTTCACGCGCGGTGTTTCGCGATTGCCTTCCTGGCTTGCCCGCTGCCCTCGTGATACCTCCCCTTGTTTCGTGCCCGATGCCTTCCTGGCCCCCCATTCTTGCGCGCCCAGTACAGTGGGGGCCCGACCACAAGAAACCTCCCACCAGAAATCCGACCCTGAAAACCAGGACGTCCATCGACTTCTGGCGTGGGAACGTCACGTCACGCCTTCCATGGCAAAACCATCAAGACCCAAGAAACACAGGGCACCCCTGGAGGCAAGCAGGGTGTTTCTTGGCATGGGTCTCCACTGTATCTGGCCGAAGCCGCCGCGGGCAAAGCGCGATCATCTTCACGTCCTCGGGGTGGACGGTTTCCCCCGGGGCAGTAGGCGACCGGAGGAGGGGAAGGCGAGAAGAGTGAGGGGGAAGGGGATGGGGAGCGGGAGGAGGAGGAGGAGAGGAGGAGGAGGAAGAGGGAGGAGGAGGAGGAGGAGGAGGAGGAGGAGGAGGAGGAGGAGGAGGAGGAGGAGGGTGTTTCTTGGCATGGGTGTCTCTTGGCATGGGTCTCCACTGTACCCTCGAGGCCCCTCGCTGGCTCCATCTCTGCGACGCGAGGCCGAACACGACACGGCGCCACCACGCCCCTCCACGGCGCTGCGCCGACAACACGGGGCCCTGGCAGTCCCACGCCTGGATGCCCGAACGCTTGCCCGGGCTGGATCCCCCGCAGCAGCCCGTTCTTACCAGCCTCGAACGTATCCCTATCCCTAAGATTGATGCGCCAGAAGGCGATGACAATCTTAGGGATTCGCCCTCAAAAAATAAGGGAATCCCTAAGATTGGCATCGTGATGAGGAGGTGCCCAGCATAGGGATAGGGATATGTTCCAGGCTGATAACGTTCGGTGCCCGGAATGGTTGCCTGAATGGACCAGCCGCGCGCCCGAAACTGTGCCCGAGCAAAAAAAAACGGTCGTGCCCAAAAAGAAGAGGAATCGGCATACAGAACTACCCCCCGACTGAGAACAGGCAAGCGTCGCGGCGGAGCATCCTCGCATCCGAACCACTGTGGGCACAACGCTCTCCAACAACACATTTGGACACCTATTTGGGCACGGCGCAAAAAGTGTGCACCGTGGGACCCGCGTTTTTGGGCACAGGACCTCCTGAGATGGGCCCACCGACGGCGGTCGCGTCGGGAAGCCGATCGGGCATGGGCACAAGGCCCCGAGCCCAGCGACGCGACCCCTGGAACCACGACGTAGGTCCTTCGCGAGGGGAGGGCGGATAAAGGAGGAGGAAGACGAGCGGCGCAGCGCAGGGAGCACAAAGCACCCATCAACGAAAGAAGGCAGGACAACCTAGCGGCACCGAAGGCAAGTCCCTGCGATAAACTATACGTCCAGGGGCTCCTCCGACTGCGGGCCAACGACACAGATCCTCGTGAACAGCATCGCGGGTCCCCGGGGTCGCGGCGGAGGCGCTGGAGGCAGCGGTCAACACGTCAGGGCTGCGGGCAATAGTTATATCCACATCCAGTGCGTCTTGGATTCTTGGGCTCTCTTCCCCAGAAACCGTAGACGCACTGGATATGGATAAAAATCTGGCCCCAAGAGGCTTGATTTTATGCATATCCAGTGCGCCTGGGCGTTGCCGCACCTCTTCCCAAAAAGTCCACGACGCTCTGGATATGGATATAAGTACTGCCCGCAAGGGCTGCCATTTCTCCAACACCACGGCTGCGCGTGGGAGCCCGAAAACACACACAAGGAGTGCGCGCCGCGCGCCGGAGAATCCCGCCGCGCGCACTCTTGGCGCACGGCTTTGGCAAGAGGGAGATGATGGGGTACGCACGACTCTGGGCCACGCCCATTCGGGATCCTTGCGCCCGCCCTACCACGACTCATGATGTTTCTCGGCCTGGGTTTCTGAGAAGGCCTTCTCCTTCTCACTTCCCCCCTTCGGCGAGGATCTCGGGGCGAATCCAGCGGCGGCGGCGAGTCCCTCCCAGGAGGCCCCAGACAGGGAGAAAACGGGGGAACGGACAGCGGCATCCGTGCCCCTTCCCTCCTCTGCAGCGGAAGCAGAGCGGCAGCTGTCTTCGGGCCGTTTTCCTTGTTTGTTGGAAGCGGGGGGGGTTATTTTGAAGGGGCCCTGGGACACACAAATAAATACACACAAATAAAAAAATCCCCCATATTTTCCCAGATTTTCTGGGTTTCTGTCTTCCCCCCCACTTCCCATATTTTCCGATATTTTCTTGGGAGTCGACGATTAATTGTGTCTGTGTTTTTTCCCTCCTGATATTTGATGGGATGTTTTTTTTGGGGGGGGGGGCGTCCTTTCGGTCTGTGCTTTCTGAGGTGGGCCCCCGCCGGAGGCGCCGAGCGGGCCCCCCGAGGCCCTGGGCCCACGGACAGGGAGGGCCGCGCCGCTGCCTCGACGGGCAGATCCCCTCCGCTCCTGGGGGCCGCCCCGCCCCGCAAGCGGGGAGGGGGCCTCTGCAGATCCGCCGCCCGTGGTGGGACGCACAGAGACACGCTGGTGCTGGATGTCCTCCTGGGAGGCGCGCGTCCGACCCGGACGGGCAGTAGACCCATCCTGCAGCACACACTTGCCCGAGCGGTGTGGCCAGAAAGCGCCCGCCACGACGCCATATGCTAGAAGACTTCTCGGTGCGCGCGTCGCCCCTGGGGGGGCGACGCACACATGGTTTTGGTATGCTGGGGTGACGCCGATGTGGAACCGGCGTCCTCGGACCGCAGCAGGCGGTGGATATGGAGTTGCTTTGGGCCGAGGGGGACCGAAGATCCACCCCCAAAGGGGGCCGGCTATGGACAGATCCCCGCCTCGGACTTCAGCTGTTCTTGGAAGCGCTGGGGGGGCGTTCTTGTAAGTGTTCCACTTCTTGCTCTTGACTCGGCCAGAACGCTAAGCAGTGACGACTACACCCTGGAATGCCGGCGTCGGGCAGGCGGCGATGTGATGTCCACCATCGTATCGAACACGTACTGGCAGCAGAGAGGAAACTAAAATGGGCCACGGTCCAACCTGAACACGTACTCCAGATTTCGTAATAAAAGGGAGGGGGTCTGGACCCTCCAAGACAAGCCATTTCAGACCCCCCCCGTGGGAGAACCCTCCAAAACATCGTCCCCAGACCCCCCCAGGCCCTCCAAGATAGCCTGGAAAAGACCCCCCCCCGAAATGAGACCCCCCTCCCTTTATTACGAAATCTGGAGTAACAAGAACAAAACGGAAACAAAAAAACGATTTGAACGAAAAAAAGCCCCCGCGATCCTACGATCATCTGTCGGGGGCGACGACAGGGGCCAATAGCCCAGCGGGGGGGCCATACCTGTGCATGTCTTCGGCGAGGCTCCCCGGCGAATGCGCGTATTGTGCCCGCCCCTGAGCTATAAATCATCCCCGATTGAGAAGACCCAACAGCGGCATGAATACCAATTCCTCGAAGGCCCGCGCGGACTGCTTGGATCGGCGCTGAACCCGCCTCCCCGACGCGCGAGGCGCGCCAGGGGCGGCGCCGGAGGCGCCGCCAGCGGGGCCCGGCGCCGATGCAAGACATCCGCGCGGACCTCCGAGAAGGATCACGTTTGCACCGCGTTTTTTGTGGTGTTCGCCGCCCCGCCCCGCGCCTCGGGGTGGCCTCTCCGCCGGCGCGGGCTCTGCTCGCCCACGAGGACGCCGAGGATGCCGTCGACGGGGATGCCGTCCGCGGGGGGCTCCCCGCCGCCCCAGCTCGCCTGCGGCGGCGGAGAGGAGGAGGAGGAGGAGGAGGAGGAGGAGGAGGAGGAGGAGGAGGAGGAGGAGGAGGAGGAGGAGGAGGAGGAGGAGGAGGAGGAGGAGGAGGAGGAGAGGGCCCAGGGTGGCCCCCGCGTCGCGAGGGAGACCGGGGCGGTCCTCGGCGGCGGGCCCCGGAGGGGGAGGGGCGGGATACGAAATCCAGCAGAGGCCAGTGCAGAATTCAAGAGGGGGAGGGCGACGCCCAAAACGGCCCCAGCATTTGTCCCCGAAGGCTGCCAGAGGATTCACAGAAGGCCCCGAGATGCGAAAACCAGCAGAGGCCGAAGGGCCCCGCCCCGCTGACGGAGGAGCCCAGCCAGGAGCCTCCGAGGAGGCCCGAGGCGTCGAGGGTGACGGCGATGCTGGCCGAGTCTGCAGCCACTTCTCGGCGGCGCCCCCAGGGGGGGGGCACCGAGGAGGGCGCAGCCCTTCTCGGAAAGCGGCGGGGCCTCTCAGAAGCCCCTCGCGCCTTCTGAAGAGTTTTCGGTCTTTCGGGCATTGCTCGGGAAGATCCTCCAGAAGAAGGACAACGGCATAGACATGAACTTTTGGCGCTCCGCGCGGATCTCGTGGATCGGAGCGCGCCAGGGGCGGCGCTGAAGGCGCCGCCGGGGGGCCTCAAAGCGGATCCAAGAAGTCCGCGCGGAGCGCCAAAACTTTCTGTTCATGGCGTTTTTCCTTCTTCGGTTCTCAGCAGGCCCGAGGCCTTCCTTCTTCGGCTCTCCTTCCTCCTTCGGCTCTCCTTCTTATGTTCATGGCGTTGTTCCTCCTTCGGCTCTCAGCAGGCCCGAGGCCCTCCGAGCCTTCCGAGATGGTCCGCCCCTGCTGTCCTGCGGCGGGGCGGGAGGGCGAGGACCCGGGCCCCCTCGCGCGGTGAGAAAAAAATGAGGACGGCAACTGTCCGGCCGTCTTCTTCGGGCCTCGGAGTCACAAAAATGAAGGGGCCCTGGGACACACAAACAAATACACACAACTGACCGGATTCCCCATATTTTTCCATATATTCTGGGCTTTTGTCATCCCCCCCACTTCCCATATTTCCGCATAGTTTCAGGGGAATCGACGATCAATTGTGTCTGTGTGTCTTATCTCTCCTGAAAAAATCTGCGGCGGGTTCGTGCCGTGCCGACTTCGGCGTTGGCTACTGACATCGCGGGGATACGCTCGACCTTGGACGATCGGCCGTTTCTGAAGCATCAGGCCGTGCAACACCGACCGATTTGGACGCCCGAAATCTAGGGCTCCCAACTTCGCGCTTCGCGCTCCGCGAAGCGCGAAGCGCGAATAACTTCGCGCCCTCGCGCCGCCGCCCCAAAGGGAGAAAAGGAGGACGAGGAGGAGGGGGGAGAAGGAACGAGGACCGCGAAGCGCGAAGCGCGAATAACTTCGCGCCCTCGTGGGAGCCCTTGGAAATGGGCACGGAAAGAATGGGTACAATGCCCAACAGCAAATGTTGTCCCGAACCAACAGCGGCCGCTGTTGGGCAGGCGGCCCTCTGTCTCAAATGGACACAGGCCGCGGCGGCGCGGACAGCGAGTCCTGTTCAAAATAAACAGGAACTGCTGTTGGGCATTGTACCCATTCTTTCCGTGCCCATTTCGTTCGTGCAGAACCGATTCTGGGTCGCCTGAGGCGTTCAGCGTTGAACGCCGGCGGCGGGGTCGCCGCTGGTCGATACGACGCGAACCTACCGCACTCGGGCTGAAAAGCTACGAAAAATCACGACGACGGAGTTCTGGCGAGAGATTTTTTGGGGGGGTGCGGCCCGACCGAGACCCATGTCTGCACCTCCACCTGCTCTCCCATATTCTTCATCCCCCTCGTCCCCCTCCACAATCCGCCTGCTACTTGTGATCCGCATCCAACTCCTTCCTGTTCCTTTGGCAATCCCCACAGTCACCATATCGTCACCATCGTCACCACCACCATCACAATCGTCAACATCATGATCATTTCGTCGCCATTATCGTTCCCCACCAGATCCTCCTCCTCACCGCTACCATCATAAAGTGTGCTGTTCACCTACTCGCCCATTGCATCTTCACAACCGAGCTCACACAACCATCCGCCTCATGCACTTCCGCTGCATGCGTGCTCCTTCACCCCTCCTCATCACTGCATGTTTCCGCCTCCCCCTCCCCTCGCAACAATGCAATATTTTAAACGCGAACACACGCCACACCCACCCTCCTGAGTTTAAAAGGGCACCGAGACGAATAAACACTCATGCGCGCCACGACGACGACGACGACGACGACGACGACGACCAGGACAGCCACGACCAACAGCGCCTCTGCCACTGCCTGCCAATCCTTGTCATGTGCAGTCCTCACCCTCCTCGTCCTGTCCACCGTCCCCCTCCACTTCCTGGATGGAGGAAGAACAACACAAACATACACTGTCGGAACTCCGTGCAGACTTCATGGATCGGCGCTGGAGCCCCCTTCCCTGGCGCGAGGAGATCCAACCATTTGTGTGCACAATCAACCCGTATCAGAAGGATGCGCGGTAAAGATTCAAGGGCCTTGGAAGCCCGTGTTACCGTTCTTCGAACGAGGTTGGCCAGCGAAAGTCGCTAAGGGTGGGCCGCAGGGCCAGGGATGCAAGGGCACTCTTGGGAAGGTTGCCCATCCTCACTACGGTGGAAGTTCTAGATAAGGATACCTACGATAAGGAACCCAGGGTCTCGCGACCGATGGGCGGCCAAATGTGGGCCACCCACCTCGACTTGAAACAATAAGGAATGCGCCAGGGTCGGGGCTCCAGGAAACGTTCCTTATCCAATCAAGCCGCCGTATGCGGGTCGGCTGTATGCTGTGTCTTCTTCTTCGACCTACCCTCCTTCCTGGTCCCCGGTCCGCCCTTGGAGGCGGTCAGGGGGCTGAATCCCAGAAGTCGGCCAGGAGAGGAGACGAGGCCAAATCCGTGCAAATGCTGTCCCTGGGCCCCTCCTGGGGACCGCCTGGAGCTTGTTTTTTCATTGGGGGGGTAGCGCCCGTTACGGGGGGAGGGGGGGGGGTCCGGCCCCAAGTTGGGGGTAACGGTAACGCGCGGCGGGGCCCTCGCACGGGCCCTGGTACTTATTACCATCACAACTGTCGGCACGGTAGGCTTCGTCGTCGTCGTCGTCGCCGCTGTCGTCGTCGTCGAAGCCGACCGTGCCTGTGCACACTACACAGGCTCTGTACACCGCGATGCCTTCGTACACCACAACTGCGGCCAAAATGGTATCTGTGTGCACCACGGCGACTGAGCACATCATGACAGGCGGGTGCACCACAGCGCCCTTGTACATTTCACTGTTGGTGCACACCACGGCGCCCGCGTGCACCACAGCTGCTGTTTCACGCGTGCACCCCGCGTTTGCACCAGAATGCCAGCGTACACCACAAAGCTTGTGTACACCTGTAAGGTACCGGCGGAGCGAAAGTCCGGAAGATCGTTCGGGGCCCAACCGTGGCCCTTTCATTATGTGAGCTGCTTGTGGATCTTAGTTTCTCCGGTTCAAAAAGCGCTCGGACCTGTTGAGCCCACAGCGCCTGTGTACTCCATCGCGACTGCGTACATCATGGGAGTGTGAACCGTGGCGCCTGTGTATACCACTTGGCACGTGTGCACCACAAAGCTTGTGTACGGTTTTTTTGTGCGGAATGTAAAACACGCGCCGTGGGGGCGCGCGGGGCGGCGGCAGCCTAGGGACTACAAGAAGCAGGATCTCCCTGCACAGGCACAAGGCCCTTGAGACATGGGTCGACGGCTGGAGCGTGCACGCGGGTGCGTCGTCGTCGCCGCCGTCAGTTGCGACGGCGCCCGGTGGGGCGACGGCGGCGGCGGCGGCGACACGGGCGGCGGCGACGGCGACCACGACGACGACAACGACGACGGCGGCGGCGACGGCGACGACGCCGACGGCGGCAAGCGGCGGCGGCGGCGGTGAAGGTGACCGCCGCCGCCGTCACCGCCGTCGTCGTCGCCGCCGATGCCGCCGTCGCCGTCGCCGCCGCCGCCGCCGTGTCCGCAGCCAGTTGCCGAAAGCTTCAGCAGCGCTTGGGGCCCACTTGCTGGATACACATGCGGGGGGGCTGGCGTGACCAGCCGCGCGAGGTAGGAGGGCCGAGCGCTGGAAGGACATGCGGCCACATCCGCGTGCAGGCCTCGCCCAGTCCAGCCCCTTGCACCAGCACAGGGAGAATGGAGGGAGGACAGTGGTAGTAGTCACAATGATATTGTGAGAGTGCACCGGCTGGTTGCGCCATGGCTTGCCCGATGCGTTACACCACACGTTGTGCTTGCGTACAAATTACCTGCGCCATAGGTTGAGCCGTAAGCTGCGCCATAGGATGCGCCCCCAGGGCGTGCCATAGCTTGCGCCATAGGTTGCGCACCCAGGGCGCCCCACAAATCGCGCCTTGCGTTGCGCCTTATGTTGCGCCCTCAGGGCGCGCCACAGGTTGCGTCGATGGTTGCGATCCTCCATCCTCCTCCTCCTCCTCCTCCTCTTCTGCACCCTCCTCCTCCTCATGCCCCTCCTCCGATCCCCCATCACTTCCTCCTCCGATCCTGTTCCAACCCTCCTCGTCCTCCTCATCCTCCTCCTCCTCCCTCTGCCTCGCTCCCCCCTCCCCCCAGGAGGTGAGAGGAGGTGGAGGGCACGAGCACTGGAGGGAGTGCAGAAGCAAGGCAAAGGAGGTGGAGGGGCCAGGCCGGAACCCGTTGAAAGGTTCGCGCCGAGGGATGCGAACCTCGAACCTCGAGGATCGAGGCATCCTGGCCCTCGAGGGCCTTCGTCGTCGCCGCGGCTGGACGCGGTTCGGGAAACTGGTGCGTCTGAGCCCCAGTCGGGCCCCGTGGACCCATTTTGAGTTTGCGCCGAGGTTCGAACCTCGATCCTCGAACCTCGAACCTCGAACCTGAGCACACATGTGAGCGTCACAGCATGCCTGCCTGCACGGAGGGGGGGTCCGCACCCCCGTCCCCGTACGCTCGTTACCGTTCCGGGGGGGGGGGACCCCCCCTCCGTAACGGGCGTTACGGGTCCGAGCAATAAAAAAACAAGCTCCTGGTGCAGTTGTTCACCCCACATCCGCTTCTGACGGTCCAGGGTCCCGAAAAAGACCCCCGGAGGCAGACGAAGGCAACAAAACGTTCTTGAACCTCAGACCTCGGACCTCGCCGCCCATTCCTGCTCGCCGGAACCAAGGCTCTCCCGACGTTCGCCCCCCGCTGGGCTGCTTCCCGGGCCTCGGATCTCCAGCAGGACAGCATGATGCCCGCGGAGCTGCCGCCCCTCCGGTCCATCGCCGCCTCGGCGCGGCGCTGCGCGCGGGCGGCAGCGGCACGAGCTTGCGGTCGGGCATGCCCCCCTACAGGCTGATTTTGGACGAAAAGTGAAACTTACCCAACAAAATGCTCAAACAGTGTCAAAAAATACAGAAAAATCGTCCCCAGACTATTTTTTGAGTAGTTTCGGATATTCCTCCTGTGGAGGGACAGGCCCGACTGAATCATAGTGAAGTCAACCTGTATGATGAGGAAGCGCGGTAAAGATGCAATGGCCCTGGAGGGCCACGTTGACGCTTTCCGATCGAGGTCGGCCAGCGAAAGTCGCTAAGGATGGGCCGAATGGGCAAGGATTCAAATGTAGCCTTCGAATGTTACTCACATCCTTACTATGGTTATGTCGGGCCTGTCCCCCTACAGGGGGATTTTCGACGAAAAATGAAAAATACCCCAAAAATAATCAAACAATAGTCCAAACATAATCCAGGGATTATGTTTTGACTATTGTTGGACCTATTTTGGGGCATGTTTGGGGTATCTTTTACTTTTCGTCGAAAATCCCCCTGTCGGGGGACACGCCCGACATACTACTGTGCGGGTTGAGACTACTGTATGTCATTCTTACGAATGAAGACCTGGAGCCCCCCCTCCGATCCCACAAGCTCGGCGGAGAAGAATGGCACTACTCATACTAGCGGCTTGCCCGCTCCAGTGAGAAGTGGGCTCTTCCCTTGCAGATGTCCCAGCAACGTAGCTACCGTGGACGCCGAATGCCCATCTCATAAGGCACCGTCAAACTAGAGACAAACATTAGTGCGGGAACTTCGGGCTCTTCTTCAATCAGAGTGCCGGACATGAACTCAGGAAGGAACTCATGGGCGGTCCTCGCAAGAACGAATAAGGGGTACAGCCCGATCGAGGGGCCACTCAGCCAGATCAAACCTGATTCGGCACAGGCGCATGAGTTAGCCCGAGTAAGCCGGATTGAGCGGGAAAGGATTAAACCAGATTAAGCCAGATTCAACGGGAGTGTGCCGGATTGGCCCGGCTTCCACAACGGATATACCAGCGCCTGTGTTGAACGTTAAAATTCACCTCCTAGGAGGTTCATCCGGCAGTAATGACAAAGACCACACTGTTCGGGCCCACTGGATGCATACTGATTGAGCCAATGGTGCATCTGATGAGCCAGGTGGTATGTCAGTCGGAGTCGGATGGCCAGTGCAGAATTCAAGAGGGGGAGGGCGACGCCCAAAACGGCCCCAGCATTTGTCCTCGAAGGCTGCCAGAGGATTCACAGAAGGCCCCGAGGTACGAAAACCAGCAGAAGCCGAAGGGCCCTGCCCCGCTGACGGAGAAGCCCAACCGGGAGCCTCCAGGGAAGCCCGAGGCATCAAGGGTAACGGCGATGCTGGCCAGGTCTACCACTATTTCTCGGCAGCGCTCGAGAAGGTTTCGAGAAGCCTTCCTCAGAAAGCTCCTTGAGACGCCTTTTTCGGCAGGCCTTCGATAGGAAGGCACCAACTATACACCAACACCGATACTGGCCAGGATCACCCTGGGCCCAGGATCGGTGTATACGCCCTCCTGCCTTGCGCAAGAAGGCATATACGCCTATCCTGGGCCCAGGGTGATCCTGGGCCAGGATCGGTGTTGGTGTATAGTTGGTGCCCTCCGATTCGAGAAGCCCTCCCGAGCCTCTCGGAACAGCCTCCCTCGGAAGGCTCCCCGGAAGGCCAGAGGCATCACGAGCCTTCCGAGGAGGCCCGCCCCCCGCCTGCTCCCCCCCCCCCCCCCGAAACACACGGCGGCGCCGGCAGAGGGCGCCCGCAGGCCCAGGCACCACCTCGCCATCGCTTGGACGTCCATTCCCTGTGTTTTTTTTCCAGTTTCGTGCGTGGCTTTTATGGCCAAATGATCAAGGATGCTCCTCGATGGTCCTCGCCGAAAAAAAAAAAATGCACACGTCCGAGCGATGCTAAGCCACCTCTCAGTGGCACCCTCCTGGCCGCACCGATCTGCGATGGCCCCATGGGACGGCACGCGGGCGGAAGCCCTCGGCGCGGGAAAATCTGACCCCCCGCACCTCGGGGTCTGGCTTCCCCCCCCCGGGCGCGCCGCAGAATCTCGGTCGGGGTCGTCGTCTCTCATTTTTCGGTGAGGGGCCCAGGGACACAGGCAAAGCATACGCGCAAGCCGCAGGATCCACCGCAATGTTTCCCACAATTGCGTTTTTTCTGGGTCATCGTCCTCCCCCCGCCCTACTTCCCATACTTTCCGGGGAATCGACGATAACTTTTAGGTCGGGCATGTCCCCCTAAGGGCCCATTTTGGACGAAACGAAAAAAATCCGCGGGCCCCCATGCGGGGCCACCAGGCTGTAGGGCGAAGGTTCGCAGTTTCCTGTACCAGTTGCAGCTTCCAGTTTCCAACGTTACAGTTCTGCTTCTTGCTGCTTACTGTTCCTTGCTGATGGACCGCGCGAGAGGGGGGAGGCCCAAACGGGCAGGTTTAGGACGCCCTGAGCGTGTGCTCTGAATTGCTGGGGTGGGTAAAAAATTCTACCCCTCACGCAGATCGGCGGGCTCAGGGTCCAAAAACATATTGGATGTGCCATATGTCTGAAATCTGGTGGCACCCCTCACGCAGATCGGCGGGGTTAGGGTCCAAAAACACATTGGGTTTGCCACATTTCTGAAATTTGCTGGCACCCCTCACGCAGATCGGCGGGGTTAGAGTCCAAAGACACATGGGATGTGCCACATTTATGAAATTCGCTGACACCCCTCACGCGGATCCGTAGGGTCAGAGTCCAAAAACACAGGGGATTTGCAACATTTCTGAAATTCGGTGGCACCCCTCATGCAGATCTGTAGGGTCAGGGTCGAACAAAAACAAACAGGTCCCGACACTACTTCACGGCGGCGCCCAGACCTCATGATTTAGCAGGTGCATCTCCCATTCTCCGAGACAGGGGGCCCGCGGTATGGGGCGACGCCCTTACGGATCAAAAAATGTACAAACATAGTCAAACAAATAATCGAAAAATCAACCTGTAGAGTGACACGCCCGACTTAAGATTACTCGTGTCTGTGTGTGTTTTCCCCCTTCCGAGGCCTGCGCTGCATGGGCCCCGCGAGCATCGCCTCGCCCTGGGCCCCGGTCGCTCCTGCTCCCTCCTCCCTCCTCCCTCCTCCCTCCTCCCTCCTCCTCCTCCTCCTCCTCCTCCTCCTCCTCCTCCTCCTCCTCCTCCTCCTCCTGCTCGTCCTCATCCTCCTCCTCCTCCTCCTGCTCGTCCTCCTCCTCCTCCTCAACAAGCAGCGCCTGCTGCTCTCCGCGCCACTGGCAGCACCACGAGGAGAAGCGGCACAACCACTGCCAGGGACCGCCAGCGGCAGGAGCCAAGGGCGGGCCCCCTGGTGGCCAGGTGGCCTGGTTCCCCCCCCTCGCTCGAGACGCCCCCTCCCCAGCTCGGGGAGGCGTCGTGGACCTCCTCGCTGGAGGTGGCCCCCCTGGTGGCGGTGGTCCCGCCTCTCCGTCCCCCGAGCTGGGGGGAGGGCAGAAATCATGCTCGAGTGATCCCCACGCGAGAACGTCAGGCGGGACCCACAGGGAGCACCCCCACAGGCTGGGCCTGGCAACCGCGGTGTGCAGATCGCCTCTTCGTCGACGACACGACGCGGGATCCCCAGGGAGCACCGGCGCACTTTGGGCTTCTTGGCGGCCACGACATGTAGGGTGTGCGGGGCGGGTCGGGAACTCTCCTTGATTAAGACTAACGCCCCCAGCCTGCCGAGATGGGAACCATATCATCTCCCTCGCTCCGCCTCCCACGCCGCCATGCCTGCGCGAACGCTTGCACGAAGGGCCCGAAGCTCTCCACGCCGGAGCCGCTCACGCCGTGCACGGCGAGGAAGACTTCCTGAGCGTCCGGGGGGGGGGGTCGCACGGAGGGGGCCAACCGCGCACACCCCCATCAAAGCCTGCTAGAAAGCAAGATAGCCACAGGAGCGTGGATCAAGATCGCGAGCCCCTCTGCACAGGGTAGGGGGTCACATGGAGATACCCAACGCGAGTGGCCTACAGTGGGTTGCTCCAGCGGTAGCTGTCGACGCTACGGTTTCTGGCAATAAGCAACAAAATACCTGCGCCTGGTGGCCCACAACGTCCTGGTCTCAGTGCTCAACGTGCGATTCGTTTGGCTCGTGTGGACTACGAGAGCGGATCGAGTAATTCCTCCTTGCCCTCATTCTCTCCGTCGTCATCACTACTTAACCAACATCGTCCACCATCCATCATCCGTCCACAGCAGCACGACCACCATCGCAGTCATCATGTCCATAAACCACATCATCATCCACAACCTCGCCCCCCATCTCTACCCCACCCCACCTGCGCCCTCCACCACAATCCATGCCATGTTCCTCGCACTACCCTTCCGTCATCTACCCAGGGTCCTGCTGGGCACCACAACTTCTTCGGCGGTGGACAAACCTCCGTTGAGTAAACCACCCTCGAAACAAAAAACGGCCTAAGACCGAAACCGACAGAGTTGGACCCGCAAGTATGACGGCCGCGACGCCTTGTCGCGAACCGAAAGCGGCCAATTCGCTAATCGACTTGTCAGGGTAAGAGATCTATCAACCTCCGACTTCTGGTCCGCTAAGCGGCCAAGAGACAGCCGCATCGCACTTGCTGGCGCCACAACGCTCGACGATTACTTACGATGGCAAGGGGGCGCCGTGTCACCGCACACCTGGCACAAGTGAGCGCAATATGCACAAAACAAAAAATCCGGGATCGTTCCCTGAACTTTTTCGGGTCTTTATGGGAAGACAACAACATCGGTTCCACCCTTTTCCCCCGGCCCGCCTTACAAGTCCACGCCCACCGCACCATCGTACAAACTGCATCCTCCGACCCAAGGCGCGCGCGAAAAACGACGCGCCCCCCGGGTCACCCAGGCGGATGACCCAAGCGCGGAGGAGGAGGAGGAGGAGGAGGAGGAGGAGGAGGAGGAGGAGGAGGAGGAGGAGGGGAGGAGGAGGAGGAAGAGGTGGGGGAGGAGGAGCTCATCTCTGGGGGCCACCCTTTGGCTCCTGCCTAGGCTCCTCCTCCTCCTCCTCCTCCTCCTCCTCCCCCTCCTCCTCCTCCTCCTCCTCCTCCGCCCGGGCGTGTCGGGCGCGGACGACCCAAGCGGGGGCCACCCGGGCCTCCGGGCGCCACCCCCGCTGGAGGGCGCGCGCGCCGCTTCGGGCGCCGTGGGCGGGCGTGGCCCCCTTGTGCGAGGGAGAGGAGCCACGCGTCCTTTGAGGTCGTCGGCGCTACGGCACGATTTCGGCCATAGCAACAACCGACGACAACAACAAGAACAAACACCTGCGAAGCGGACGTTCGTGCAGGTCCAAGCCCCCATTCCACCCCGTTCCCCTGTTCTCCTCTTGCGCTCCTCCTTACAGGGGGGAGGGACGGCGAGGAACGAAGTGGACCTGTATAATTGAGCTCGTGGACCCTGGAAAGAACGGAGTCTAGTTCGTTCAGGGATGGGTGTCCTGTTCTCCCTTTTCAGGCCACTTAGAACCAAAAAGCCGTATATAAACTGACAAAACGCAGCGGTTTGTTGTTTTTAATACGCCCCCCCCCCCACTGCGTGCAGTCGGACGCGAACAGAACAGCCCCCCTTCCTCAAGCACTTGAAGGCCTCCTTGTCCACGGGCAGGGACGCCGCAGGGATTGCGGCTTCGAGAACACCCCATCACGAGCGGCGAGCGCATTTATATCCACGCCCTCGCTGGCTGGACTCTGGGGCGCGATCCCACGGATACGCGATCGCAGAATTACGCCCCGCGGTGGAGCAACGAAAAAAACCTTATCCACGGGGTCGCGGCCCAGGAGCCCTGCCTGCGCGACTCCCGCCCACGACCCCAAACCGTGGCGCGCCAACTTCCCAGACACATCTGCCCGTCACCAGCAGAAGACACGCGGAGGAGGAGGAGGAGGAGGAGAAGGAGGAGGAGGAGGAGGAGGAGGAGGAGGAGGAGGAGGAGGAGGAGGGGGACGACAAGGAGGAGAAGGAGGGAGGAGGAGGAGGAGGAGATGGAGGAAGAGGAGAAGGAGGAGGAGGAGGAGGAGGAGAAGGAGGAGGAGGAGGGGGACGTGGTGGGCGCCGCCTGCAGTGTCGACAGCCGGGACTAACGACAGCAAGAGGCTCACACGTGCAGCGAACGGAACGGGAAGGGCCGCCCTGGGATCACCCACTGCGCACCTGGGGCATGCTAGTCCAACCGCGAGGCGGCAGCGGGGCCCAGGAGAACCTGCACTCTCACCTCGCCCTGCGCACCGTCCAGACGAGGGTCCGCAGGCGGTCGAACGTGAGGGCCGAGTCGATGGGCACGTCCACGGGCGTATAGTACAGCGTCACGAGCTCTGCGATCAGCTCCGCGCGTTCGCCAGACGCGCCCTCGTCCGCGGGGGGCGCAATCGCGCCTCCAGGTCCAGCAGCGGCCACAGCAAGCGCCGAGGCAGCCGCGGGCGCCCCAGGGGGCACCGCCGCCGTGCCAGGCGCCACATCTCCAGTCGCGCCAGCCCTGGCCACAGCAGCCTTCTGCCTCCCACGCCGCCGCGGAAGGCGGGGCGGCAGGGAGTCGGCCCAGCTGTCGTCAATCATCCCGTCCTCGTCCTCCATGGCGGCCGCGCAGGCTGCGCCTCCAGAGGCCACGGCAGCCGCAGCCACCGCCAGCACTCCAGCAAGCGCCTCGGTGCCACTGCCATCCCGGCCGAGGCAGGGCGCCGCTACAGGGGCAACAGCCGCAGGGGCCTCCCGCCGCCGCTTCGCGAGCCGCTTGCGCCGCCGACGGCGGCGGGCGCGCATCGCATCGTCCTTCTTCGCATCGTCCACGCCGTCGTCCCCCGCAGCAGCACGCGGCTCAGGCGGGCCAGCGCTCACGAAGAGCACGGCCGACACCGCCGAGCGGGTGACAGCTGCTACCGTCCTCCGAGGCGCGTTCGCCTGCACCGCCGCGCGAACAGCCGCCTCGACAAGGCAAGCAGCATCGAGCGCGGCCCGAGCCCCTCTAGGCCACGACATGTCGCTCGCGGCACAGGTCCAGGCCATGCAGTCGCTTGAGCCAAAATGGAGGAGAAGGAGGAGGAGGAGGAGGAGGAGGAGGAGGAGGAGGAGGGGGAGGGGGAGGAGGAGTGGGGAGGAGGAGGAGAGGAGGAGGAGGAGGAGGAGGAGGAGGAGGAGGAGGAGGGAGGGGGAGGGAGGAGGAGGAGGAGGAGGAGGAGGAGGAGGGAGGAGGAGGAGGAGGGGAGGAGGAGGAGGAGGAGGGAGCCCGACGGGCCGACTGCCGAGCGCGGCGTCGCGTGGACGACTCTCCACGGCGGGAGCTCGACGCCCGGGCCTCGACGCCGCGGCGCGGCCCCGGGCGCGGGCGACCTCCAGGGGACTCGGGGGCTCCGTGTGCCGAAGCGCCTGTCTAAGCCGAGCCCCGCCACGGGCCTCTCTCCTCCTCTCATCCTCATCCTCTCTCCTCCTCCTCCTCCTCCTCCTCCTCCTCCTCCTCCTCCTCCTCCTCTTCCTCCTCCTCCTCCTATCCTCCTCCTATTCTCCTCCTATCCTCCTCTCCTCCTCCTCCTCCTCCTCCTCCTCCTCCTCCTCCTCCTCCTCCTCCTCCTCTCCTCCTCCTCCAACCTCTTATCCTCCTCCTCCTCCTTATCCTCCTCCTCTCTCCTCTCCTCCTCCTCCCTCCTCCTCCCTCCTCTCTCCTCCTCCTCCCCCTCCTCCTCCTCTCCTCTCCCTCCTCCTCTCCTCCTCCTCCTCCTCCTCCTCCTCCTCCTCCTCCTCCTCCTCCTCCTCTTCCTTACCATCATCATCGGCATCAACACTAATCATCAGAAGCAGCAACAACGTCCCCATTTCCGACCACCTCGTCATGATCGTCGCTCTACTGTCAGTGCTGTCATGCCCGTGCTCCTCGTCTACATCACTGCCCTCACCGTTTCGTTTTCACTTCGACGTCCTGCTCACTGTCATCACCACCAAAGAGAAGCTTCTGGAGCCCCGCGCCAAGCCCAAAGTCCGCCCGCATCTCCAAAATCTTGTCTTGTTCCCCAATCAATGCTTGCACTGAAGGGTCCTGGCGGAAACTGAAAGATTTGGCGAAAACTTCCCGCCGATTCTGGTAGCAGGCTGGGTTCCCGGGTTCCCGGTCCCGTTTTCCCGAGTTCCCGGTTATTGGTTCCGGGCCGATTTCGGTGGGTTCTGGGTTCCCGGTCTGATCAGCGAAAACCATCCGCTGCGTAAGTTTTTTTCTCTGGTGTAATGACACATCTTTGTCCTTCGATCATCGTCCTCATCGTTCGTCTATCCAGTATCAACTTCAGGACTGAACACACAGGCGGGCCAGTGACTCCTCCTTCGCGCCGAGGCCGAAGATGCTCTTCATTCCGCCCGCCGGGCACCTGGCACTCGCAGACCGGCCAGGGAAGACATGCGCGGTCCTCTGCTGTCCAATGCTCACCGCTCGTGAGGGGGGCTTCACCCTGCCCCTCGTGCTGTCTTCCTCCCGACCTTCGGGCCAGGCGAAAGGGGGGGATAGCAAAGGGGGGGGGTGAGAATCAGCTCACGTAGCTAACTTTCCCGGCGCCTCTCGGCGCCGGGAGACGCCCATATATCGAAGCGGCAGGGCCGAAACCAGCTGTATGCAGCAGATTTCGTCCCTCCTTTCCCTGTCCCCCCCTTTCGTTCGGCCCGAGACCTGTGCTGCAAAACGAACTCAAATCGAAAACGGCCCAAGAATTCGCCAAAACAATACTGGAGCGAGACAAGAAAACGAGTCTTACGCAGGATGGCACAGCGACCTGACGCCGCGGCTTAAGCGGGCCGCCAGCGCGGCACACCGCGTGGGAAAGAGGGCGCTTCCGCTCGACCTTACGCGGGAAACTTGCGCGCGAATCTTCGCACAATCGAACCCAATGTTTCGCGTCGCTCGATTAAGTCGAGCCGGCCTACCAGGAGCTCTCCGCCGCACTGGTCCCCAGGCCGCGGGCACGATATACCAGCCAGCCCATCGAGTCCTCCAAGCTCGGGGCTCGATTCCACTCCAATGCACCTCATCCCATCTCCACTCTCCTCTCTCACCATCCCTCCTCTCCCCCCCCCCGTCTTCTCTCCCCCTTGCCTCTCTTTCTCTCTATCTATCTATCTTCGAAGCCTCCTCGATCTCATCCGCTCTCGTGGCCTCATCATCCCCCCGCACTGCCCTCTCTCCTCGATGTGTCTTCCTCCACACTGAAACAATAAGGATATTACCCTCTTTCCCTTGAGTCCTTCCAGAAGATTCTGGGCCCTCTGCGCGTGCTGCTTCTTACACAGGAATTCAAACGTTGGTTTTCTTCGGTTCTTTACGATCAGATGTTATCGGCGTTTCAAGATGGTGCTCTCGCTGCAGCATGGGCCTTCTTTTCGGATAGGCGCTTTGCTCCCGTCGTTCAGAATGGAGCTCTCGCCCTAGCGCTGGCCACTTTTCTGGATCCGAATCTTTCATTGTTGTCGCCCCCCTTATCTCACCTCCTCCGCCGTCCCCTGGTCCTCCTGTTCCTCCCGATCCTTACACTCCGGTTCGTCTTGCTGCTGTGGGTCGTCCTGATCCTCCCGCTCATCATCCTGCTCATCCGCCACTTCCTCCTCCTCCTCCTCCTTCTCTGCACGCAGCTCCCCTTTTTCCGATTGCGCAAATCCAGATGTGGTTCGGCTGGAGTTGCAGGTCGGCTACGACTCGCGTCCGCGGATATGTTAAACAAAGGATGTCAGATGTGGCGCGAGCGCACCCTGCTTGTCCTCCCCCCTCTCCTGCCCAAACTCTCCTCTCCAGCCGAGGTCGCCTACTCCTCCTCTCCCCTCCCCCCCTCCCCCTCCTCCTTCTCCTCTTCCTTCATCTCCTCCTCCTCCTCCTCGTCCTCCTCCTCCTCCCGCTCCTGCTCCTCCTCCTCCTCGAGGCCTTCTCCTCCGCCTTCTCCTCAAGGCCTGCTCCTGCTCCTCCTCCTCCTCCTCCTCCCCCTCCTCCTCCTGCTCTCCTCGGGGCCTCCTCGAGGCCTCCACCCCAGCGCTGGACCAGGCCACGCTGTGCGCGGCAGGCGGGCCTGGCGGCCGTTGTGCGGAGCCTCCTGGCGAGCTCCTTGGGGCGCGCGCCCGGTCCGAGGCTCCAAACAGATGGAGCGGCCGGCTTTTGGCCGTGTTCGGTTTCTGGGGCCCTCAACCACGGGGTCCAGGGACACACAAATAAGTACACAAAGATCCCAAGATGCCCCAAATGTTCCCATATTTTCTAGCCCCCCACTTCCCATAAGAAATCGACGCTTCTTTTCTGTGTGCGTGATTTTTCCCCTCCTGACTCGACGAGCCCCAGGGCCGACAAAATCACAGATCGGGGATGAAGAGCCGTCCCTGTAGGGTTAGTTCGGGCATGTCCTCCTACAGGCGGAATTTTGGAGGAGGGAAAATAAAGAACCCAACATGTTCAAACATGGTCAAAAATCGTCCCCAGACTATTGTTTGACTATTCTTGAATACTCCTCCTGTAGAGGGACACGCCCGACTTCACTGTAGGGCAGCGGGCCTCTGGGGGCCCAGGCATCGAACAAGTGGGAGCGCCAGATATGTCCGAGTCGAGGGGCGCTGCTGGGCGCGCGCCGAGGGAGGGAAGAAAGGGTCCGCAGCCCAGGGACGGAGAGGATATAAAGGTCTCCCATATGGGGTCGGAGTAGATGGGGTCGAAGGATCGCGCCGCATCGCCGATGCATCGGCGATGCATCGGCGATACATCGGCGATGTATTGGCGATGCATCGGCGACGCGGGCGTGGAGCAAGGCTGGCTCCACATCGGGCTGGCTCCACATCGAGCCGCATCGGCGATGCATCCGCGATGCGGCGCGATCCTCCGACCCCATCTGCCCAGATCCCGTCTAAGCCCTAGAGAGGAGGAGGGGGAAGGGATGGAGGGAGGATGATGATGAGGATGAGGATCAGGAGGAGGAGGAGGAGAAGGAGGACGAGGAGGAGGAAGAGGAGGACTGGTCGCCTACGTAAGCCCTTCGGAGAGATCCTCCAGCAGCCATCCTTTGTGTCACCAGTCGATGTGGATGGTAATATAGGGCGACAGGGTGCCCCTCAGGTTGCCTGGCTCGGCTCGAACGTCTGACAATTTCGACACCACAATCGGTTGATCAAGAGAGAACGCTTCGCTATTTCCGCCATCAATGGCCAATGAATCGTCGCTCGCACCTTCCGAAATTTCCTATGTGATGGCTCCGTCACTGATACCGCGTGTGGTGCTAATCCACAAGGTTGTATATGACGGTGGGGATGCGTGATGGGGGCTGGGGTGACCACGCAACGCCCTGACGAACGTGACCACGACCGACGGCCGACGACCAAAGCCATGCAAGTCTGTGGGATGGAGAAGGATAAATCTTTCAACGCAGGGAGCACTGTTCGCCACCCGAGAAAGGAGGGGCGGCATCATAATTCTGGGACCTCCATTTCCAGGGAAGACCTCATAGTGTCGCCTAACAGTTTACGGCATGACGAGAGAAGACGAAGTCGAAATAACAAGCAGGCCCACCAGGCCTGCCAACTCAAGCTTGTCCCACAATCCCAATTTGCACGCAACAGACATGGGAACCTCGTGCTCCTCTCCTCCTCCTCCTCCTCCTCCTCCTCCTCCTCCTCCTCCTCCTCCTCCTCCTCATCCTCCATCTCCTCCTCCTCCTCCTCCTCCCCCTCGCCACCCCATCTAGAGAACAACAACATGCGCAGGCATCAACTCCCGCAGCCCCGCGCGGACGGCACCGTGCCCCCGATTCCCGGGCGCGCGGAGCGAGAGCGCCGGGGACGACGCCGCAGGGGCGGCACACCGCCGATCAGAAAGATCCGCCTCGGACCTGCGAAGGTGCGCTGCGTCTTCTCCGGCTCTCCTCCGCGCCACCCTCTCCTGGTGTGCGCACATTCTCGTACAGGAAAACCGCATCAGCATAAATCTTTGGCGCTCCGCACGAGTTTCTTGGATCTGCGCCTGGGCCCCCGGGCGGCGCCTCCAGCGCCGCCCCTGGCGCGCTCCGCGAGCCAGGGAGGGGGGGTCCAGCGCGAATCCAAGAAATCCGCGCGGAGCGCCACAAGTTTATGTTTATGCTTCTGCGGTTTTTTCTTATTCGATGTTCGTGTGCCCCCCCAGGCGGAAACGAAGCCGCTGCATCTGCGCGCGCGAGCGCGCAGTGCAGCGAGAGGGCCAGGCCATCCCTGCCGCATCGCCGTCCGTCGCCGCAGTGGCCCGCCGTCGGAGTGGGCGTCGGCGGAGTCGGGGCTGCCAGCGGGCAGCTCCTGGGAGGTCTTCGTGAAGCGGTTGAAGGGCTGGCGAGCGTAAGCCCAATTGAGGGGCCCCTGTGCCAAGAAGGCCAGATTGGGTGTGGGTTCCACCTAGATTGGACAGGATTGAGCGGATTTGTTAGGAGGCAACTCCTGCGAGGTCTCCGTAAGAACGAATACGCGGAAAGGCGGGAAAATTCGATGAGAGGGCCGCTAAGCCGGACTGGACCGGCTTGAGCCCGGGCTGAAGCCAGAAAATGCGGGATGAAGCGGACCGAGACGGGACTGTGCCAGGGTAGGTTGGCCTTCGGTCACGGACCTACCAGCGCCGATGCTGAGTCTCGCCTACCATCGGGGAGACGTAAGACCCGGGTACGGGGGACTCGGAAATCCCCGACGAGGTCGTCAAAAAAATGACGAGGCCGAGCCTGCACTTTGACGAGGCCTCCCGCTGCAGACATCCCACGAAACTCCTCCTCGTCAAAATCCGAGGCGCGGTCGTCAAAAAACGATGGCGAACCCGAGTCCTGGCAAACCCGGGTCTTACGCTCCCCCGATACCAGGGGCTGCGTCCCGAGCGCCGCCGCGTGGAGGGACAATCCGCAGCATGCACAGAAACCGTCGGAGGTCCGCGCCGACCAGCGCCGATGCCGAGTTTTCCACTCCCAGGGGTTGCGCCCGGAGCGTTGCCGCATGGAGGGGCAGCCCGCAGCACGCACAGCAACCGTCGGAGGGCCGCGCCGATGTCTCGGATCGGCCCTGGGCCCCCCTCCCTTGCTTAAGTCGGGCCTGCCCCCCGACAGGCCGATTTTGGAGGAAGAATAGCAAAAAACCCAAAACAGAATCAATAAACATCAGAATTTTGGCTATTGTTTGATTTTCCTGCTGTAGAGGACGCGCCCGACTGAATCCCTTGCGCGCGGAGCGCGCCAGGAGCGGCGCCGGAGGCGCCGGCCAGGGGGTGCCAGGCGCCCATCCCAGAAATCCGCGCGGAGCGCCGAACATCTGCGCGTCATGCAGATTCACTGTTCGTCGATCGTCCGAGGCCGCCGTGGCTGTCGCAGGGGTCGTCGTCGGCGTCGCCGGCGGCGTCGGCGCCGTGGTCGTCGCCGCTGCGCCAAACCAGTGTATATACGATTCCCCGAATCGTATATACACTGGGGTCGACCAAGAGGGGGGCGTCCGAGAGGGGGTGGCGCAAATCATGGCCAGCGGCATGTGCGCGGCCCCGGGGGGGGGCCAGGGACGTAGTGCAACAAGAAGAGGCGCCATGAAACCTGGGGAAATGTCGGGGCTGGCCCACGCCGTGACATCCACCCCGCCCCCTGGTCGTCACCCCCCCTCTTGGCCGCCCCAAACACAAAGCCCTCGGGGGGGGGAGTGAAGGGCCCTGGACGTGGGCTTAGTACACACAGCGACCTCCAAAGGGCGCGGCTGTTGCACACGAGCCGTGGCCCGGGCGGTGCAGTCCGACTGGGGCGGGGAGGGCGCGGTATCGTATATGGAAGCCAAGCCAGAGTAGACCGATGCCGCAACCCCCGGGACCTCTCCCGGGGTGCTCTCTGACTTTGAAAGCCCTGGGACACACACATACATACACACAAGTAACAAGATTCCCCGTATTTTCCAATATGTTCTGGCTTTTTGTGTTCCCCCCCACTGCCCATATTTTCCCATATTCTCCAGGAGTCGACGATAAAATTGTGTCTGTGTTTTTCCCAACCATCCTGTGGTGTTGGGTCCTCGTTTTGAAAAAACGGTAGCCCGCGTCTCCTCTCCTCCTCCTCTCCTCTCCTCCTCTCCTCCTCCTCCTCCTCCTCCCACCATCATCATCGTCATCACCCATTTCGGCCCACCCCTCACACGTTTCGTGGCCCCATATGGAGCTCCACCGAAGGTCCCAGTGGGTGTGCCCGCATGCGCCCCGCACACCCATGTCGGCCCACCCCTCACACGTTTCGTGGCCCCATATGGGGGTTCCACCGAAGGTCCCAGTGGGTGTGCCCGCATGCGTCCCGCACACACATGTCGGCCCACCCTTCACACGTTTCGTGGCCCCATAGGGGGCTCCACCGGATGTCCCACTGGGTTTGCCCGCATGCGTCCCGCACACCCATGTCGGCACACCCGTCACACGTTTCGTGGCCTCATAGGGAGCTCCACCGAAGGTCCCAGTGGGTGTGCCCGCATGCGTCCCGCACACACATTTCGGCCCACCCCTCACACGCTTCGTGGCCCCATAGGGAGCCCCACCGAAGGTCTCAGTGGGTGTGCCCGCATGCGTCCCGCACACCCATTTCGGCACACCCCTCACACGCTTCGTGGCCCCATAGGGGGCTCCACGAAGGTCCCAGTGGGTGTGCCCGCATGCGTCCCGCACACCCATTTCGGTACACCCTTCACACGGTTCGTGTCCCATAGGGAGCCCCACCGAAGGTCCCAGTGGGTGTGCCCGCATGCGTCCCGCACACCCATTTCGGCACACCCCTCACACCTCGTGGCCCCATAGGGGCTCCACCGAAGGTCCCAGTGGTGTGCCCGCATGCGTCCCGCACACCCATTTCGGCACACCCCTCACACGTTCGTGGCCCCATAGGGAGCTCCACCGAAGGTCCCAGTGGGTGTGCCCGCATGCGTCCCGCACACCCATTTTGGCACACCCTTCACACGTTTCGTGGCCCCATAGGGAGCTCCACCGAAGGTCCCAGTGGGTGCGCCCGCATGCGCCCCGCACACCGATTTCGGCCCACCCCTCACGCGCTTCGTGGCCCCACAGGGAGCTCCACCGAAGGTCTCAATAGGTGTGCCCGCATGCGTCCCGCACACCCATTCCGGCCAACCCCTCACACGCTTCGTGGCCCCATAGGGAGCTCCACCGAAGGTCCCAATGGGTGTGCCCGCATGCGTCCCGCACACCCATTTCGGCCCACCCCTCACACGTTTCGTGGCCCCATAGGGAGTTCCACCGAAGGTCCCAGTGGGTGTGCCCGCATGCGTCCCGGACGCCCATTTCGGCACACCCTTCACACGCTTCGTGGCCCCATAGGGAGCTCCACCGAAGGTCCCAGTGGGTGTGCCCGCATGCGTCCCGCACACCCATTTCGGAACACCCTTCGCACTTTTCGTGGCCCCGTAAGGAGCCCCACCGAAGGTCCCAATGGGCGTGCCCGCTTGCGTCCCGCACACCCATGTCGGCACACCCCTCACACGCTTCGTGGCCCCACAAGGAGCTCCACCGAAGGTCCGAGTGGGTGTGCCCGCGTTCGTCCCGCACACCCATTTCGGCCCACCCCTCGCACGTTTCGTGGCCCCATAGGGAGCTCCGCCGAAGTTCCCCGTGGCGCAGTACGCATGCGTCTCCCCCACCCAGTACACCTTCGCCGGAGGCCGTCGGAGTTCCGCGCCTCGCTCGCCCGTCGTCGCTCTGCCCAGCGGCAAGAGCCTTGCCCGCTATCAGCCAGCCAACTAGCTCTTTTTGCTGCGCGCAGCGGACGACCCGCGCGCGTCGCTGGGACCCCTCCGGGGCGACCTGCGCGCGTCGCTGGGACTCCGCGCTGCGCTGCGCCCGCAGCCTTGGACTTTTGAATGCGCGGGCAAAGAGGGAGTAAAAAAGGGGAGGAAGCGGGCGCGATCCTCGCGGTGGCGTCGCGGCGCGCGGGCGATGCCATCGGGGAGTCCCGGGGAAGCTCCTTGCGGCGGCCACGCCCAGCGTCACGAGCACCCAAAGGCAGTAATTTTTAAACTATTGACTTTTTATATACAAATTCACCATGCTTTGTCAAAGTCGCATTCATGCACTTAGACTCGCTCGCACGCAGATTCATTCACAGTCAGACGCACTCGCGCTCAGATTCACCCGCGCTCAGTCTCCCTACGTACTCAGATCAATCGTTTTCGTTCGCGTCGTGTACCACGCCACTCATTTCGGCACACCCCTAGCACGGTTCGTTGTCTCATAGGGATCACCACCGAAAAAGGGAATCACAATTGCGGTACTCACACCTGCATATGGTTGGGTCCTTCGTCTGGCTAATTTCCCCTCCTGAGACTTGCCCTCCGAGGCGAAGATCCAGCGGTGGCGACGAGGGCCTCCCAGGAGGCCCAACAGGGGAACACGAGGGGGAAGGGCAGCGGTATGCGTGTCTCCTCCTCCTTTGGAGTCTGGACGAGACGTCGTTGTCGGCGTCGGCGTCGTCGTCCCCTCGCCCGCGGCGGCGGCGCGGCGGTCCGAGAGCACGCCGGCGCTGTCTGCCTGAGCGCCGGCCGCCGGCGGAGGGGCGGGGCCAGGTGCGGGGTTGCGGGGCAGACCCAGGACCCCGCAGTTCAGGGCGCAACCCCAGGGTGGATCTGGGGATGTAAGGGCCTTTGGGCCAGACACCCCCTTGGCTTCAGGCCTCGGCTCGCCTTTCAAGGCGGTCGATTTCTTTTAGTAAGCTGAGTTTGAGTATGCGGATACTTCCGCAGGCAATCGACTCAACGATGGCAGGTGGCAAGCCAGGAGGAAGGCTTGCGCGCAACCCTCCATTTCTGTGGACCCATTTCGAGAGCCGAGACAGCGGAGAGGTCTTCGTAGAAACGAGTATGGGCGGCGGCATCCGAGCCCCAACCCCGCCAGCCATCGATTCCCCTGGATCAATGGGAGGAGGGGGTATCCAAGTCCGCCCAAGAAGCCACCAAGACGGCCCAAGATGGCTCCAAGAGGCCTCCAAGAGATCATCCAGGAAAGCCCGACGAGGCCCAAATCATTGATTTTGCCTAGGCTTGAGCCTTACGAAGGCCCAAGACGGCCCAAGAGGCCTCTCGGGAACAGTGGAGGAACGGGAGTCGAGCCAGCCAAGACATCAGCGGACCTCCTGCTCCTGCCGCTCTTCTCCACTCCTCCTGCCTCCCCTTCCTCCTCCTCCTTCCGAGCCTCCTCCTCCTCTCCTCCTCCTCCTCTTCCCCTCCTCCTCCTGCGCTTCTCCTCCTCTTCCCCTCCTACTCCTCTTACCCCCCTCAACTTCTCCTCCTCTTTCCCTCCTCTCCCGCTTATCCTCCTCGTCCCGTCCTCGTTGTCATCTTCCCCTCCTCCTCCTCCTCCTCGCCTTCTCCTCCACATCGTCCTCTTCTTCTCCTCCTCCGCTGCCGTCTCCTCCTTTTCCTCTCGTCCTCTCTCTCGAGAAAGCCGCCGACGTCTCCTTTGTCTGCAGAGGGCGCAACTGTCCAACAATCGACTCCGCGTCGGAGTGAAACGGGGGGGTCATACCAAAATGCGCGCCTCGATTATTCAACGACCGCACGAGCCGCCGATGTCTCAACAGCCCTCATCCGTGATGTGGAGGTGCAGCAGCAGCATCAGGGAATGAGGCTATGTGCTTCCGCTGTCCATGTCGGAGTCGGTGCTAAGAGCGTCAGAGGATTCTTCCAGAAGGACATGCAAAGCCGTCCCCTCATTGGCCTCTTTTTGCTGATTCGGCGCGCACTTCAATTTCAACCCCCACCCCCTCTAAGCTGCATGTAGCACTTACAGATGCCAGGCGCCCTTACGGTGAGGGGGGAAAGGGGGAACCCAAAAGGGCACCACGAGAACCCCAAGACGGCACAGAAGAGCTCCAAATGGACCTTTGCCCACTGAATTCAAAGACCGCAGGGGAAGTCCTACAGCAAGATGCCGAGGCGGAAATCGTGTTGACCACGACTGGCCTCAACAGTTTCGCCGTCCTACATGTTGCTCGAAAGATGGCTGCAAGTCGAGCTCAGAGTTCCTGAGGTCTCCAAGACGGCCCTGGGATGCCCCAAGAAGCCCCCAATGCGATCGAAGATGGCCCTGCACAATCCAAGACTAAGCCTCGAGGCAGCCCGAGTGCCCTAAGATGGCCAAGGATGGTCACAGGGCAGCATCAGATGGAGAGGTCCAGGATTTGCTATGGCGAAAAAAAGCCATGTCGGAAGCGCCCGCTAGGGCCGTAGGTGGAGCTCCGTGTGGGGGGCACCAAACGTGTGAGCGGCGTGCCGCAGTGGGTAGAAGGTCGACATATGGGCGCACCCACTGGAGTCAAGAAAGAGCTTCCTGTGGTAGCGCGCTCCGTGTGAGGGGTGCGCCGCAGCGGGCGGGAGCAACATTTAAGTCGGGCGTGTCCCTCATCAGGAGGAATACGTTTACAAATCATAAAACAAAGTCTGGGAAGGATTCCTTCCCACATCCAAAGTGGGGTTCTTGGTTTTTCTGGACACCCTCCGCGCAGGAACCTCACCTTCCTCCCACTCTCCGCCTCACTCACGCATTCGGCCCATCACCGGTCATCATCACCATCGGTTATCATCATCACCACCACCATCATCATATTCAGTCACTCACCAGCGATCACCATCACCATCGGCCATCGATCATTTGCATGATCATCAGGATCACCACCACCGCCATCATCATCATACCCAGTCGCACATCACACACACACACACACACACACACTCTCTGTCTCATCACTCAGCAGCATATTCTCTGGACACCCCGCGCAGGAACACACCACCACCACATCCTCCCCTTGCTCATCATCACCAATCATCATCATCATCATCATCATGATCATCATCATCATCATCATCATCATCATCATCATCATCATCATCATCATCATCATCATCATCATCCTCATCCTCATCATCAGCATCAGCATCAGCATGAGCATCAGCATCAGCATCATCATCATCATGAACCTTGTCAATGAATGAATGGTGAGGAACTCTCGGGCGGGAGCCCCCTCCATATGAGGCTCGCATTTCATGCTGGTAATCCGAGCGGGTCATCCTCGAACCTGAAACTGTCCTTACTTTTGGGCTCTTCAGGCGTGAATATTAAAGAAGTACCAGGCGGGAGATTCGTCGGTAAGTCAATTGTGAGGAAGTCTCAGGCGGCAGCCCCCTCCCCATGGGGCCCGCACTTCATGTTGGTAATCAGGGCGGGTTATCCTCAAACCTGTAACTGTCGTCATGTTTGGGCTCCGCAGGCCTGAAGATGGAGGAAGTATCAGGCCGGAGCCTCGTCTGTGAGTGAATGGTCAGGAAGTCTCAGGCGGCAACCCCCTCCCCACGGGGCCCGCACTTCATGTTGGTAATCCGAGCGGGTCATCGGAATCATGTAACTGTCGTCACTGTTGGGCTCCTCAGGCTTGAACATAAAAGAAATATCAGGCGCGAGCCTCGTCTGTGAGTGAATTGTGAAGAAGTCTTGGGCGGGAGCCAATTCCTTATAGGGCCCGCATTGATGTTGACCGAGCGGGTCATTTTCGAACTTGTAACTGGCGTCACTTTGGGGCTCTTCCAGCCTGAATATGGAGGAAGTATCAGGCGGGAGCCTCATTTGTGAGTGAATTGTCAGGAAATCCCAGGCGGCAGTCCATTCCTTATGGGACCCGCATTGCTGTTGGTAACCCGATCGGGCCATCGGAATCCCCTAACTGTCGTCATGTTTGGGTTCCGCAGGCCTGAAGATGGAGGAAGTATCAGGCGAGAGCCTTGTCTGTAAGTGAATTGTGAGGAAGTCTCGGGTGGGAGTCCCCTCACTATGGGGCCCTCATTTCATGTTGGTAATCCGAGCGTGTCATCGAGATCTGATAACTATCGGCACGCCTGGGCTCCCCATGCCTGAAGATGGAGGACGTATCAGGCGGGAGCCTCGTCCGTGGGCGAACTGCGAAACAAAATATGTGGCGGGAGCCCCTCCCTATGGGGCCCGCACTTCATGTTGGCAATCCGATCGGGCATTCGGAATCCTGCAACTGTCGTCACGCTTGGGCTCCCCAGGCCTGAATATGGAGGATGTATCAAGCGGGAGCCTCGTCTATGAATGATTTGTGAAACACTCTCAGGCGGGAACCCATTCCTTATGGGGCCCGCATTGATGTTGGTAATCCGAACGGGTCATGGGAATCTTTGAAGTGCCACCACTTTTGGACCATTCAGGCCTGAATATGGACGAAGTATCATGCGGGAACATCGTCCATGAGTGAATTGTGAAGAAATCTCGAGCGGCAGCCCCCTCCCTATGGGGTAAGTGGTTCACGTTGGTAATCCGACCGGGTCATCCTCGAACCTGGAATTGTCGTCACTTTTGGGTTCCTTTGGCGTGAACATGGAGGAAATATCAGGCGGGAGCCTCGTCTGTGAGTGAATGGTCAGGAAGTCTCAGGCGGCAGCCTCCTCCCCATGGGGCCCGTATTTCATGTTGGTAATCCGAGCGGGTCGTTCTCATCCGTGTAACTGTCGTCACTTCTAGGAATATAGGAGAAGCATCAGGCCGGGAGCCTCGTCTGTGAGCGCATCGTGAGGAAGTCTCAAGCAGGAGGCCCCTCCTTATGCGCTCTTCGGAAGGCGATTCGCCCGACCCATCAGGGGAGGAGGAAAAGGAAAAACAGGAGGTGAGGACGACGACGGCGACCGGGCGCAGGGGGAAACCCTTGCGTACGGGCCAGGGGTGGTAACCGCCCGAGCGCGGCCGTGACTAGCTCGGTGCCTGCGGGGTTGTCCCAACGGCTTGCTCCCGTGCCTCAGCGGCTCGCGCGGTTGCCCCCACAGCCTGGCCCGCGGGGTTGTCCCAACGGCCACGTGACGCGGCCATTCGAGAATGCACCCGCGCTGGCCGAGGCCCCATCGGCGTCGAGGAAAATCGACGCGCGCGTTTTTCAACAGACAGGAGAGGAGGTGGTGGGTGACGAAACAAACAGCAGAAGGGCGAGGCAAGGGCAACGCGTGGAGCGGGTGAGGGCCCTGCGCCAGGACGAGAACGAGAATGACGCAGAGAAGACAATAAGGGCGCTTTACTAATCGCGAGGACGGCAGTGAAGGTTATTTCCAGATTAGCCGAAAGGATTTTCGTGTGGGGTCTCACCGTCGGGGTAATCCTAGAATGTGTTGCATATGTTTTGGATATGTTTGACTGCTTTCATTGTTTCATCCAAAATCTGCCTGTAGGGGACACGCCCGACCTAGAGCAACATTCAAGCGCTCCCCACGGGCAGCAGATGCGTGTGCCGAACTGGACGCGGGGCGGCATGCGTCCGCGCCCACGGGTGCGTCAAAATGGACGCGGGGCGGCAAATCTGTGCGCCCACTCGGGCAGTAAGTGCAACTCCCTGGTCGCATGTTTAGACGCCCGAGATGGGTACGGAAAGAATGGGTACAATGCCCGACAACCAATGCTGTCCCAAAGCAACAGCGGCCGCTGTTGGGCGGGCGGTCTTCTGTCTCGAATGGACACAGGCCGCAGCGGCGCGGACAGCGAGCCCTGTTCAAAATGAACAGGAACTGCTGTTGGGCATTGTACCCATTCTTTCCGTACCCATTTCGGGCGTCCAGAACATGGGAGCACCAAGTATGCGAGTGGTGTGCCGGAATTGGCATGCGGACGGAGAGCAGAAGCAAGGCGAGAAGAAGCAACATGA